AGTGTAAGCCCAGAAGATCTTAGCCGAGACTGGAGTTGCTTTTGTAACTTTTATACAGGATGTACCTGGGAAACCCCAAGAAGTGAAAGCTGATTCACTCTTAACAATTCACCCCATTCCTTCCAGTTTTTGTGTCCTTCAGTTTTCCTCCCTTTTTCATCTTCTCCTTCCTCTTTCTCCACAGCCAGATAACAAATAAGAATACAGGATGCCTGGTTAAACTTGAATTTCAGTGACCGTGTTTTTGCATGAGTATGTGGTAAATATGGGCACAATTATTCTGAAAATTTTTTTAAGATGTATTTATTTTTATTGGAAAGGGAAATATACAGAGGAGGAGAGACAGAGAGGAAGATCTTCCGTCTGGTGGTTCACTCTCCAAGCGGCCCCAACAGCTGGAGCTGAGCCAATCCGAAGACAGGAGCTCGGAGCTCTTGCGGGTCTCCCATGCAGGTGCAGGGTCCCAAGATCTTGGGCCGTCCTTGACTGCTTTCCCAGGCCACAAGCAGGGAGCTGGATGGGAAGCAGGGCCGCTGGGATTAGAACTGGCAGACATATGGGATCAGGGCGCGTGCAAGGCGAGGACCTTAACCACTGTGCCACCATTCCGGCCCCCAAAACTTCTTGCATACTTGAAATTCACACTTAACTAGGAGAATCATCCTAAATTCATCAGGCCAGCCTGTCTCACTGCATGTCATTTGTGTCTGTGTGTGTGTGTATAAACAGCAAGAGGGGGAGTTCCTCCAGTGTTTGGTGGCAGCGTTAATCTATTTCTTCATGTTTATTTTGCCTCACCAACTTTCCTTATACAGTTGGATTCTATCCTTGGGCCAAGGAGGGGTAGAATATGTCAGATAGGAACCTCAGGTGCAGCATCAGAAAATCAAAAAGTGAGTTTTAACCACTCTGATCACATTTCATTCGTAAATCTCCAAGTCCGTCCATCAGTCAGTACAGGCCACTCCACAATTTGTTTTTGCAAATGACTCTCCCAGGCTACGGGAGACCCAAATCAGTGACACGCAGGGAACCGTCAGCCTCTGAAGTTTATGCACAACAGCCAGGGATGCAACGTCTCAAGGCCTTGGGCCATCCTCTGCTTTCCCAGGCTGCAAGCTGGGAGTGGAAAGGGAGGTGGAGCAGCAGGCATACGAACTGGCACCCATTTGGGATCAAGGCGAGAACTTTAGCCACTAGGCTAATGGACCAGGCCCTAGGTTAAGTTTTTAACAAAATAAAAGCCCAGCGGTGTCCACCAACTCAGTATGATGGAACACTGTTTCTCTGGTTCTTATGGACAACTCTTGGCCATCGGTGGTAACTTAGGGGTAGGCATGCTTTAATACCATGACTTTGATTAAAATTTCCCCATGTAAATACGGGACTATCTATGATTTAATCTCTAATTCATTTGGAAGATATAGTAACAGAGAAATCTTCCATCCACTGGTTCACTCCCCAAATGCCTGCGCCAGGGGCCAAAGTCAAGAGCCAGGTCCAGTATCCAGGTCTCTCAGGAGGATGGCAGAACCCAAGAGCTACCTCCTAGGAACCTGAGCAAGGAGCTGGAGCAGAGGTGGCACAGCCAGGACTTGAACTGGCACTCCAACAAGGGTTGCTGGCATCTCAGGTGCCACAACACCAACCCTTGACTTAAGTTTCGTAGACTTTTACAGCAGTTTTAGTCTCACAGAACAACTGAGCAGAAAGTACAGAGTTCCTAGAAATGACCCCGTTGCAGCCTAATTCACATGGCACTAGGTTTTCATCAAAACAATTGTGTGTTTTATTAGTCATCTCTGAATTCATCCCTTCCAGGCAGGCATTGGCACAGGAGTTAAGACATTGCTTGGGACACCCACCTGTCATATCACCGTGCTGGGGTTGGAGTCCTGCCAGTCAGTTCACATAGTGGGAGGCTGCAGTTGGTGACTTGAATACTTGGGAGGACAGGATGGAGTTCATGGCTCCTGGCTCCATCCTGCTCTGGCTCTAGCTGGTGCAGGCATTTGCAGAGAGAACCAGTGAATGGAAGATCACAGTCTCTCAGTTAACCATTCTCTCTGACACTGCCTTTCAAATAAACAAATAAATCAAACCACAGTTCTGATGGTATAAGCTCCATAATAACTTGCAAAGATGGTTGGGATTTCTGAAATATAGTTTCCCTTAAATGTTTAACATTCTATAGTTACTGCCTTAGATTGCTAGACCAGTTTCCTGCCAGTACCAATGTCTTGGGTGTGCACAATAGAATTAAACATACCAGAGATTGGCACAGCAGAGGCCACTGATATCTCACTATTGATGTCCTAGTCATTTTAGAGTCTTAGAATGTCCAGACACCTTGGGGTCTCCCTCCTAACCACTCCACAGTAAGACTTAAGCCCTTTTCTTCAGGTCTGGGTGAGCTTCCCAAGGGTTTCCAGAAGGCACAGGCCTGTCAGCACAAGGACAGGCTGGGGCTGCAGCTGCATCTTGATTTCCAGGTGTGATGGCTGCACCTGTCTGGTTACAAAAAACCTCCTCCAGCCAGCCTAAGTTGAGGAGGTGCAAGACAAAAATACAGTGAGCTAAAATTAGTCCACCCTTTTATCCCATTATCACTTCCTAAGATATTGTTCAGTTCCATTTAAGCCACATCATCTCCCTGTCATGAAGACATTGTGATGGCTTTTAAGAACAAGGAAAGCTTACATTGTAGCTTAATTCGCTGCAGCTGTCATGACCTTCAAGTTTTTTTCTCTTCCCTTCCAGAAGTGCTGGCATTCAGTGAGACAGATGCTAGCATAGTTTCTGGGGGGGGGGGAGGTTGAGGGGGCTCATTTTATTATCAATATGCAAGGTGCACCATTAATAAGGATACATCGTATGGATCGTTCTTTGGGAATCCCAGTGGGCCCCACCCCCGACCCCTGCAATCCTCATGACAAAAATGCTTGCTTTTCTTTTCAGTATTCTTTACACTGAACATCCCATCTTAATTCAGTGAGGGAATGTTTATTATGTAGAAGATGTAGCACTGAATACTGGCAAGCTTGATTGAGACAGAGATTCTGCCCCAAGGAACTTTAGACAGGTGCATGTCAAGATGGGGTAAGCATATGATGCCTACAGCCGATGGCAGATTTCCTCTGATGAAGAACTTGTCTCTAGGAAAACATCTTGATAAATTAGAATGGGGTGGGGTGGACTGGGAGTTGAAGATGCAAAAGAGGCAGCAATAAGAAGAGCTAAATCTCAGGAGGTGTGTGAGATGCTGGGCACAGAGAGTGGGCAGTAAAGAGATTGCAGAAAGGAAGCAAGACATGGGGCTTGAGGCAGGTCCCTAAGGGATGCTGGGCCAGGTGGACTCCTAAGTCAGGATGGTCAGAAACTGTCTTGGGATCTTGGGATCATGTATGCCCAGTGCTCACTGTGACAGTGAATGATGCTTGAGATAGAAGCCCTTCTGTCCTCTACCCACATTCCAAAGTCTGATGCAGCCATGAAAGCTTTGTGTCATGTCTGGGCCGGTTTGAAGGCTTTGAGCTGCATGTTCAAGATCATGAGAAGTAGAACAGACACAGGGCATGTGAAAGTAAAATTCTAGAAACAAATGTGCCTGTGAAACATCGACTCCCTGGAAACTGTTGAAATCTCTAGGCAGCTTTGGGTTCCCTCAGATCCCTCTAGAAGCACATGTGAGTCCATCTCCCTCTTAGTCTGCAAGGTTCAAGGCTCCCAGCAGAGTTCTGCTTGTTTGGGCTTAATTCATAAAACATATGCAGTATTATACCACCAGTGGGTAAGAGCGGGAGCGCCAAGAAGAGGATATTAAGCTCTGCCTCTTGGATTAAGTAAGGCTTGCCAAGAAAGCTTTGGAAACTAATTGTAGTTTCAACAGGCAGAGCAGGACGAGAAGGTCCCATCACCTGGGCGGAGGTGGGGCACGATTGGTGTGAGACACCATGTCTGTGCATTAATTCTGCAGGTGGCTGAGAATGAGGCAAGGGTGGTAACACAGAGTGGGTAGGAGGTGGCGCCTTGGGCTACTGTCAGATTCTGGAAGACGGTAAACCCCATCCCAGTTCCACAGATGTCTGGTCTGTAGGTCAAAAACATTGCAGAAACTACAGGAAGGTTCTAACTGGAAAAGAAAGCATTTTGTAAGCAAGAGACCATTTAGATTGTGACTCAAGTGACTTCCCACCTCCATCTTCCATGTCCAAGGGAAGATCTGCTCTTCTTGCTAGGACTGGCTAATGCAGCATGGGTGGGAAGTGGAGCGAGTGTGCACACACACACGGGATGGTGGGGGCGTGAAAGGCTGGTGGCATTAGAGGTTAGAGGGAGAGTGGATGAGAGGTGAAGCTGACAGTGACTGATGTGGAGAGTTGTCTTGTGTCTGCTCGTCTGTGGAAGGGTGTTGATGAGATCTTTTCTGCAAGAGCAACTGACTGGTGTGCAGGTATGTGTCTGCGTGTTTGAGCGGGGCATGATGTGCAGACGGTAAGGATGTGCTTGGAATGTGTGGATTATAAAAGTGCTAAAGAACCTTTATATGCTGAGCTGCTGGTTGAAAATTAAAACCAAGGCCATATATGCTGTTCGTTCTGGAAGGATTTGTGTGTGTGTGACACATCCTAAAGGTTGCCTGAATAGACCCCAGGTATTTGGACTTGCTGGCAGCTTCCCTCTGCTTTGACCCTAACTCTAGTAATGCCCAAGGAATGCTTGTCATGAGAATGAGTGAGAGCAGTTGCCTCAGTGTGGTGGTACAAGGAGCAAGTGGAGGATGTACAGTTTTCTTGCAAATATTCCAGTTTACTGTCAGCTTATATCTGACCTTTTGTCCATATGCATGGATATTTTCCTGGGAAAATAAATATAACTGTAAGGGGAAAAAAATAGGTCTAAAGAAATGCTGGGGGAAAGGAATGAGGAGTGTTGTACCCAGTGCTGTCATTCATACCTTCCTCTCTTCTTGCTGTCCCTTCATTTTAACCAATAACACAATGGTTTGTGCTGTTGTCTGTCAGTTGCTCACTGATGTTGACATTTTGCTTCCTGCAAAGAGCAGCAACTTGACACTGTCTTTGCAGAGAGCGTTAGACCAAAAAGGTATGCTTCAATAGATCGAGAAAGTCAAATGAATACACACTAGACTCCCGGTGCACAGCACCCAGTAGGTTTGTGTGTTACAAATGAAGGAATTGACATTTATTCCTCTTGGGTGCTGTGAGACACACGTGCTGTGATTACATGCAAGGACCCCAGTGCTGTAAATGTTTGCACTTACAGGACTGTGTTGCCTGTTGCTGTTAAGGAAGGATGAGGTCAGTGAGCAGAAACCCACCAGTTTTCAGAAAGTACTTGCTGGAGAAGGTGGGTCTGAGCCAGGAGGAGTCACTGTACTGATGGCATTAAGAAAGGTTGAGATGCAGATGTTCTGCAGTCATGGAGATGGGTCCCATGGGTTCCCTGGGTGGGTGTTGGTGTACCTTTTCCAGAACATGTTCATGTTAGCATCGTGGCCAGCAGTACTCCCAGGCCCACTGGCCTTGTTTCTTGAAAGTCTCACACACGTAGACTCAACTGTTAGAGTTCGGAAGCTGCCCCAGCAGGTGCTCCTGCTTTGCTTATGGAAGCTGTCACACGTGGTTGTTTCCAGATGTTTAGGTCTCTTCATAATGTAGAAGATACTCCAGGATCAAGAAATAACGACGGGTCAGAGAGACCCAAGAGAACAGCCCAAAGTAGCCACTTAGGCTGGAAAGGACCTTGTCATAGGGACAGCCAGGTTGGGTACCCCAATTTGAGATCCCAAATGCCCCAAGACATGACAGCGTAATACTCAGAAAGTCTCAGACTGTGGAGTACTTTAGATGTCAGATCTTCTGAGGGGGATACTCCACTGGTAATGTCTCTGCAATCATCTCAAAATGTGAACAATTCTGAGACCATTTCTGGTCCCAAACATTTAAGTTAAGGGATACTTGGTCTTTACTGAGTTCTACAAATGAACAAAAATGAGAATTTAGCAAGTGGCCCAGTGAGTGTAGCAAATCATCATGTGCCTATCTCAGTCTGCTATCACCTGCTGATAACACAATCCCACTGCCGGAGTCCGGCTCTAGCTGAGTTCGGAGCTCGAGAAGGGTGCGTGGAGTTGGCAATAAAGAAAGACACAGACACTGTCACTTGGTGCTTTCTTGCTGCATTTTTTTTTTTTTTTGCTCAGGCAGAAGCTGTTCTTTTTATTTACTTAGACACATCACAAGCCTCTGCACAAACATTTGATTTTTTTATCTTTAACTTTAGAACTAAGAGAGCATGCACAGATGTTCAATTAATTTTTACTTCATGGTGAACCAGGTGCTCTTAAAGATAATTCTGTAAGTTACTATAATCAGTTCCTTTAAAGCAAGCCGTTATTCATTCTTCAGAAGTAGCCATTAGGTGACAGCCAGAACTCCAAGGCCAAGGCACAGATGGTTACCTGCTAATCAGTAAAACATTCCTACTACATTTTATTTTCACAACTTATCTATCACTTAATGGGAGAAATACATCAAAAGAGAAAAAAACATAAAGATCTAAGACAAAAAGTTTCAAATATTAAATTTCCCTGCAACTGCAGGCTCTACAGCCTCATAAGCAATCAAACAATAATCAAAAGTATATCTCTATGTTAAAAGAATCGTCCTATATTTCCTCTAGTTAAAAAATCATGAAAGCGGCTAAAACAGCTACATTTTCTATGTTCTAAAGAGTTGCAAGGACAGGCTAACCTTTAAGGTCACAGTAACTATAGTTTTGCCATAGCAGTTTCAGCTCTTACTCCCATCACTTGCATTAATATTTAGGATATTTATCAAGCCCTTTCCCAGAAGGAGTGCTACATGTCTGGGCCAGATTCTGAGGCAATTTGTTAAGTACCCAATAAGGTGTCCAGAAACAGCACGGGCTTAATTGTGCTCCTGCATGTAAATTGTCAATGGCCCACTCACCAACACATTATCAGTGACATTAACTCTCAAGCTCTCATTGGTTGCAAAAACTATCTCACAGGGACAAACAATGCCTCGATAGATTACAGAATTCTTAGTGGGGTGCTTGAGTGTCCATGCAAATGGGGGTGAGACCGTGTCAAGGTGGTCAGAGAGAAATCCGCTGGGCCCTGCCAAACAGCTGGAAGCTCCCCCGGACCCTGCCAAGCAGGGGAGCTGTTCTCTTCACACCTTCACGCAATCCACTGCACGGACCCCAGCATCCCACAGACTGGACCAAGGTCAAGGGGCTGTGTGGGGATGGCCTTTATGCTGGCAGAGTCTCAAAGAGACAGATGGGTAGCACTTGGCAAGGAACAAGAAGCATAAGCCTGGATGCAGGTCTCCTCTGGTCATTGTTTCACAAAGCCAACCATTGGTACTTAACCAGAGAGTCTGCCCTGGGGGCTACTTACCTTCCAAGGACCCCACTTCTATGTATCATAGTTAGATGAAGCATCTACCTCCTTAATAATGCAAAATTTAAAAAAAGGCTGAAACTCCAACATGGGATTTGGAGGCGCAAACCATTTTCAAACCCTAACAGTGTCCCTCATGAAAAAACAAACTAGCTCAGAGATGACTATGAAAAGACCAGCAGCGCATGTGCAGGTGTTGGTCATGTCCATCCTGTTTCTTTGTTTTTGCTTTTATTTACAGCAAGCAAGATAATCTTGCAGTATGTACTGAGAATAAGCTGTTACCAAATCATATGCCAACACTATTGTGTCTTGATCACACTGACACCCCACCAGTTGACCACCTGACACCACTCCTCCCCACTGCCTCCTCTCCCTTCTCCTTACTTTCACTTCTTCTGCCCTGTTTTTCCCTTCCTGATGTGGTTATCTTTATTCCTCTAGTGATGGGTTTCTACCTCAGGGATTTAATCAGTGTTGGGCAATGTGTTTTTCTGTTTTTAAGGGCAATGTGCTGATTTCCTCTCTTTTTGTGAAATGGGATCGGCGGTGCCCCCGCGTCTTGTTCCTTTTCTTTGCTGGCTGACACACTTCCCAAGTTCTCCCAGCCATGCTTGAAAATGTGTTTTATTTTTTTTCAAGTGAACATTAAGATCAACTATTGCAGGGGAGGGTGGCAGTTGTATCAACTATAATACATGCTGAGATTTATGTACGCAGCACCAGTATCAGCGCACAGTATGAGTCCATCACCCCCAAAACTCCTGCGTGCTCCCCCCAGGAGGTCACATTCTTCTTCCATCCCCGGAGCCTCCGATCTTCCTGTTTATCTGATCTTCCTGTTTATTTGCTCAGTCTTGCTACCTTGTTGCTGGGCTTTGTTCTATAGTTTATTCATCTATTCGCCACGAAAGCAACACTTGACAAGTTTCAGTTTGATGTGATTATGAACTTCTGTGCATAGATTTTTCTGTGAACCTGAATTTTTATTTCTCTAGAATAAAAGTCTAAGAGTGAGATGGCTGGGCCACGTGTTAAGTGTGTCTTGATAAGAAACTGACAAATTGTTTGCCAGAGGGGCAGGGCGGTTTTACAGTCCCATCAGCGAGCGCTTGATCCCTCCAGTAAGCAGCATGTCTACACATAGTATTGTGCAGTTTGTGTCTGGCCATTCTAATAGGTGTATAATATCCCATCATGATTTTAATCAGCATTTCTTTGGCAACTGATGGTATTGAACATCGCTTTGTGTTCTCACACAGCATGTCTTTTTTAGTGCAGCATCTGTTTAAGTCTCTTTTTGAACTGGGCTTTTTCTCCTTGTTGAATTTTAAGGTTTTTTAAGATTTATTTATTTTTATTACAAAGTCAGATATACAAAGAGGAGGAAAAATAGAGAGGAAGATGTTCCATCCGATGATTCACTCCCCAAGTGAGCGCAAAGGCCGGTGCTGTGCTGATCTGGAGCCAGGAGCCAGGAACTTCCTCCAGGATTCCCACATGGGTGCAGAATCCGAAAGCATTGGGCTGTCCTCAACTGCTTTTCCAGGCCACAAGTAGGGAGCTGGATGGGAAGTGGAGCTGCCAGGATTAGAACCAGAGCCCATATGGGATCAGGGCACGTTTAAAGTGAGGACTTTAGCCGCTAGGCCACGCCACTGGGCCCAAATTTTAAGTTTTTTTTTTTAAATCTTCTAGATACAAGTCCTTTGTTGCATATGCCATCTGAAAATACTTACTCCAAATCTGTACTTATCTTTTCATACTCTTCACAGTATTTTTCCCCAAAAGGAAAATGTTAATTTTTAATAAGTCTGATTTAGTCATTGTTTTCTTTTTTTACATTTTTAACTTTTATTTTTGACAATGTTTTATTTTTAACGAGTGGGAAGGGTCAAGTTTCAGGGGACAGTGGATGAAATCCTTGTTTCCACATTTTCTTTTTCTTCCTCCTATATTTAGGGGAATGGGGAAATAAGGGGAGAAGCCACTCCCAGCCTCCCAATGCCTCAGCACCCAGGAATGGGCAATGGCCTCCCAGTGTCATCCCTGGGTCCCTGATGTGGAGCATACTCAGGGTTCTGCTCAAGCGGTTTTGATAGTTCTGAAATGCTGTCAATCTGGCCACCCCAAGGATAAGGAAATCCTTCCAAGGTTCATTGGCTGACATAGTCCACTTAGAGTCTCCATTTGCCCAGATGTTGGCTGTCAACACTTGGCTGGGATAATTGTCCAATTTGTTCTGCCCTGCTTCCCCTGCTATGGAACCCGATGTCCTCTGCAGGGCCTAGTAGACTGTCGTATCCTCCATGTGCATCTGGGTGTGCTGTCCACTGCTCTGTCTTTCCACAGAGGAGGTCCAGTTCTGACACATGCACTCCACCGTCAGATCACAGATTCTGCAACTCTCCCCATGGTTGGAGTTCTGAGTCCAGCAGTTCAGTTTGGGGGGATCCCCAAAAGATCCTTCTCAGAGGTGATCCCAGAGCTGACTCTTGTGTGTGCTTGCCAGTACCAGGCCCAGCTCAGTCTGTCACCTACATCAGCCTACACACACACTGGTGGCTGGAATTGCTGGTTCAGTTCTATCTCTAGCCCCATCACTTATGTAAACCAGTGGATTCTGCGGTCCAGCCCAAACCTCATTCACACACAGCCCAACCCTGCCCACCACACACTCAGCCCTCACATCAGGAGGAATTTCAGCCTAGTTGCAGTGACCCCCAGTGACCCCTACCAGGCTCTCTCCCAGCCGTGGGTTCCCCAACCCAGCCTTCCTAAGCCCAGTCTTCTGGCCGGGAGGTGTGCTGACCAGAGCTCTGCCTGCCTACTAGGGTCCCAAGCTTCTGGCATGTGTGCAGGCCTGGGACCTTACCCCTCCACACACCAAAGATCCAGGCCCTTCCAGAGTTCCCCAAGCCCAGTCCAGCAACACATTAGACCAGCATGCTAACCTAGGGCTCTCCCCCATACCCTCCTCCCCAACCCCGCCCAGAACCTAGCTCATGGAAAATCCCCAGTTTGCTTCACCTGCCTGGACATGAGCCCCTGGTGCCTGCACACTCCCACCAGTGCCATGCACCAGGCCCCCCACAAGCCCGCAGTCCCAGGCTCCCATGAGCCCACTGCCCCTTGTGTCCTGGCACAAAAGGTGGCAGTAATTATTTTCCTTTATGAGTTGTGCCTTGAGTGTATCTTTGGATTGTAACAATTTCTCCTGTTTTCTTCTAAGAATCCTCAAGTTTTACATTTTAGTTTATGACATGGGCCATTTTGAGCCCATCTATATATAAAGTATAAGACTGAAGGTTAATTCATTTTTTTGTCTATGGATGTCCAAATGTTTGAATGGCATTTGTTGGAAAAAAAAATTTATTTTAGCCATTAAATTACTGTTGCACCTTTGCCAAAAGTCACTGGGCATGTTGGTGTGGATCTGTTTCTGAACTTTCTCCTGTTCCGTTGATCAACATGCCCGCCCTTCTGACAGGTCTGCAGCGTTAGCATTACTGCGTTTCAGGAAGTCCTTAGACCCAACTGTGCGAGTCCTGCAGCTTCCCTCTTTGGCCAAATGTTTTGACTATTCTCATTCCTTCCTCTTCCCTTATAAATTTTTGAATCAGATTGTTGATAGATGTTTCAAAGTTTATGAAACTGTTGATTAGAACTGCCTTGAGTTTATAGACCAACTGGGGAGAACTGACACTCGGTGCACTTGGTCCTCCAGTTCATGAGCATGGTATGTCTCCTCAGTTAGCTGGCTCTTCCCTGGCGTCAGCACTTTGTGGTTTTCAAAATCTAGATCCTGGACGTGTTTCATTAGAGTTACATGCTAAGTTTTTCTTTTGTAATTGGAGCTACTTGAAGGTATTGTTCTTTGTTTATTTCAATGTCCACTAGTTGTTAGTGTATAGAAATATTTTTTTGTGTGTTGACCTTGAATCCTTTTGATGTGTATAAAGATATTGTTTATTTGGGGCCTAGCACAGTAGCCTAGCAGCTAGGGTCCTTGCTTTGCACATGCCGGGATCCCATATGGGCACCAGTTCTAATCCCAGCAGCCCCACTTCCAATCCAGCTCCCTGCTTGTGGCCTGGGAAAGCAGTCGAGGATGGCCAAAAGCCTTGGGACCCTGCACCCATGTGGGAGACCCAGAGGAGGCTCCTGGTTCTGGATCAACTCAGCTCTGCCTGTTGCGGCTGCTAGGAGAGTGAATCAACGGACGGAAGATCTTCCTCTGTCTCTCCTCCTTTCTGTATATCTGACTTTTCAATAAAAATTTAAAATAAATTTTTTTTTAAAAAAATATTATTTGAAAGAATTATAGAGAAATGGGGAGAGACAGAAAGGCAGAGAGAGCGAGCTTCCATCTGTGGACTCACTCCCCAGACAGCCACAATGGTCAGAGCTGAGCAGGCTAAAGTCAGAAGCCAGGAACCCCCTCTGGGGCTCCCATGTGGGTATCAGGGCTCAAACACTTGGGCTGTATTTTGTTGCTTTCCTCAGGATATTAACAAGGAGATGAAGTGGAGCTGCTGGTGTAACAATTGACACTCATGAGATGTTGGCATTACAGGAAATGGCTTTGCCCATGGACCACAACACATCCCCATAACCTTAAAACCTATGCGTTGCTAAACTCACTTGTTCTGGGAGTTTTCAACATTAAAAAAAAAATTGCTGCCAACAATAAAAATAATTTTTTATTCCTTTCCAATCTATCCGTTGTTTCTAATTACATTTGCTGGGATTTCCATTTTGATGTTGAAGTAGAGTGGTGAGAGGAACTATCCTTGCTTTATTCCAAATTTTACGGGGAAAATATTCTGCCATGATGTATAATGTTTAATTTTATCTCCTCTTCCCTTTATCCGACTGATGAAATTCCTAGTTTGTTCAGCATTTTTATCATGAATGGATGTCAGATTTCATCAGCTTTGTCTACACCAATTGATATGACTTTAAAAGTGTGAATTTTACTGCTTAATTTTTCTACATGGAACCATATTTTCCTATATCGTTTTCCCAGGATAAATTCTGCCTAGTTATGGTTTATTATTCTTTTTATACTTGCATAATGCTGGATTCTATCAAATTTGTTATATAAAAGATGACATGATTTGTCTTATCTGTAGTGAAGTATTTTTCGCTGTGTCTCTAAAAATGTCTTTCAAGTTGAAAATCTTTGAAGAAGAGCACAGATCCTGTTTATGCAGAACCAGTGGGACTGTATGATTGTGTAAAGGATAGGCACCGCCTTCGTTAGGCACAGGGTCTTGGATGGTATTCTGTTCTCCTAGAGTTTCAGATGCTTCATCTTCATTGGGATGGGGCAGTGGGGACCCATCATCACCTCCTCCCGGCTTTTTCTCCATTCTCTTGCTTTAACTCCATCCTGTTCTCTTCAACCTTGATCTGGCTGTTTTCTAGGCCACTCCTCGGCTGGTCATCCAGGGATTTTTTTTTTAATGGTCTGCTCCTGGTTTTATTCCAGCGACTGTAAGGACAGGAGAAGGTGGGAAACTGTTGAAAAGTATTAGAAGGAGCTGATATTATAATGAACACTGGCTGAGTAATGGCCGGGGCTCAATCCCATTTTTAGCTTCTTAGGTGAATCGCCTCATTTAACCCTCACAGCTCAGGTGGCTCTTGCCATCTTCTTCACCAGGTTTTCAGGTGAGGACATGAAGACGTTGAAGATGTCAGGTAATGGCCTAAGTTGTGACACTCACAAATGGACCAGGAATCCCCATGGGGAGAGCAGTACTCCGAAGCCCTCGTTTGCAATGTAAGGAAGGACTGCATACAAGTGCAAGGCTGATGGGCTCTTAGTGTACCAAGAACATTTGGTCCCTGGCTGACTGAACACATGCCTTAAATGCAAACAAAATGAAAATAGGAGAGCAGGTGAAAGAGCTGCACCCCAGCCCTGCAACTCAGCCATCGCAGCCTTCTTAATAGCCTTTGTCCACTCGCCCAGTGCCACAGAAACTGGTTCCAGGAAGGGCAAGGACGCTAGGGCATGGACGACAGTTCCAGGTGGCATGTGGCTGGCTGGTCACCTGAGACCAAACAAAGGATTCCAGGTGCTGGATGGGAAGGGGAAGCTTCCTGCACTCTTGGGATGTGTACCAGGCACTTCCCCAAGTATCATATGTACATGCACTCATTTCAGGGGTCCTTGAACCAAGACAGAGTGTGAGTTCTGGTTAGGAGGATGCTCTCCCGCTGGAGGGAGAGGCAGGCTGCAGATAGAGTCAGGGAGCAGCAATGCCGAACAGCCCAGTCCTGTGAGGTTTGGAAGCTGACCTGGCATGGATGGGAAGGCCGTGGGATGGGCTCAGCTGCACATCTCGTGAGGTTCAAGTTTTGACCCACAGACTTCTTGCAGACTCACTATGCACAGGAACTGGGGGAGTGGCTGTGAGGGAAGGTCTCGATCCACTTACAGCTTCACCTGGAGCAGGTGCAAGGCTTTGCAAACATCTTGAAGGTCTACAAGTCTTGAAATTTTGCCCCACTCTTGGCTGTTTGTGTGGCCTTCATACCCACACTCACATAACTAATGTTCATAAGCTCCATTATTTCAAAGTCGAAAGGGAAGACCCTATTCTTGGCCTGGTAGCCAACAGGAAGAATCGGGAACAGTGGAGAAGGCTGGCAAGAAGGAGGCGGGCCAGCAAGGTTGCCCCACAGATGGCTCTGTGTCGCTTGCGGGAGTTTCAGGTGTGGATTATTTACAGTCAAGCCTATCAGCTACACGGCATAGGGTTACTCTGCACCGTTTCCATTTTAGGTGTGCCCCACACTCCCTGAGCCAAGGCAGCTGCTGGCTCATGGCACACCCACTCATCCTTGGGGCCTGTCCCCTCAGCCTCGACTGGCCTTTCAAGACCTCTCCCTTGGGCCCTCTGGCACCATCTTCTGAAGCAACCCCACTCCTCTTCTCCCTGTCCTGCCTTTTCCTTCTGTCATCCCCTGCTTGGCCCCTCCTTCTTGTCCCAGTTCTCAAAGCCCTTGGGAAGCAACGTTTCCCTGGTCCCTGGCCATAGGGCAACTGACCACTCCATTGTCCAGCTGCATCCCTGCCCTGTTGGAGAGCCGGCTTCATTGCTGTGCCTCATCTGTAAACTGTAACAGAGGCCCAGGAAGGGGGGTTAACACCTGCAGTGTATGACTTGGGATGGTGCTGGGTGGGCACCTGTGCAGCACCCTCCCCCACCCCGCCAACAGCTTCCTATAGGGGTGGTGCTGCTGCTGCTTGCTTGTGACAGCCCTTTTGTACCAGGCATCCATGAAGAATTGGTTATTTCCAAAGAAGCAGGAAGGACACAGGAGTCTGAGATATCCAGCTTGGATGAACTGGGGTAGGATGGGGCAGACATTGTAACAACAGTGCTGGAGCAGCGTGCTGGGATTGAGGTCCGTGGTGGCCTCTCATAGGGCGGGCCTGCATCTTATCTGGTAGGAGGCATGCATGTTTGACTTCAGTAGCAGTTTTTTGTCTCCGAGCAAGAGAAGCTAGGAGACCTCACCAGTTTCAAAGGCGCTGTTCAAACCCTGTTCCAATGCTAGCTCTCTATCGCCCTTAACTCCTGGTTTCTGGCCTCCTTTTATTGTTTCTTTTGTTGAGTTCATAACTGTTTTGTTTTATTCATATGCAGTGTATGTCTTTAAAGTATATTTTGTCCAAATTTAAAACCTAACCTTGAAGATCTGGGGATATTGGCATTGTTGAAAAAGAGGGATGTTACAAGCAGCTCGCATTTCTAGGGAGAGAGACGCCAGAGGACAAAAGGCTGGAGGCCAGCGTGGAGGCGTCATGGTGGGACATGGCCAAAGGGGGCGCAGAAGCCTCTCTTCCGGCCTGAGTGTTACTGTGCAGAGAGGGGTCGGGGTGGAAAAGCTGAGCATGAGGAGCCCAGGGTGTTTTCTGGGGTGTGCCTCAACAAATCAGGGATTGATGGCAAGCACAGTTTTTAAACCCCGAATGCACTAGTTACGAAGGGCAAGCTTGGGTTTCCCACTCAAGGGGAAAATCCATGTTCTAAAAGCATTAATGTTGAGTAAGATAAAGTGGCTGCTGGAGAGAGAGGACCAGGGGTGTGATAGGGAGAGGACCAGAGGAGGAAAGGTTGATTTGAAGAAGTTCAGGATAGAGGAGTTTTGTAAAGTGAATTGTATCTGCTGTACAGCTTAGCTGGGAGGTAAGAGGTTTGGCAGGTATGGCAGGGCTGGGGCAGGAAGGGGGAAGGGTGGCCTCATCCGAGGAGTCTGGAGTCTCAGCAGGGACTCAGAAGTAGACTAGGAGTGGGGAGAAGTCAGAACAAAGGGAAATGAGGCCCAGGGCTCACCAAGGACATAAGGCGAGGGTCGGACGGCCTGGGCAGCGTGGCTGGTCCCCGGCAGGCTGAGGGCAAGGCCTCATGCGTGGGGAGGTGTAGATGGTTAGTGCTTTAACAATTGCTCCCTAGAGGTGGCTGGGCTGAAGCTGGGTCTTGGCGGGTTGTCACCTGTGCTGTGTCTCCTGGGATCAAGTCCCAGCTGCTGCATGCTTTTCAGCTTCCTGCTAACATCCATCCTGGGAGGCAGCCGGCGATGGGACTTGGCTCCCGGCAGCCCCCATGAGATTCCAAAGGGCTCCTCAGTCAGTCGGCCCCAACTTTGCCTTTTGTGGGCATTCAGAGAAAGAAGAGTGGATGGAAGACCAGCTTCTCTCCCTCCTCTCTCTTCTCTTTCTCTTTTAAATAAGGTGAAGAGAGATAAATGTGGTTTTTAAAAATATTTTTATTTGAAAAGTCAGAGTTACAGACAGGAGAGGAGCTCTTCCATCTGTTGGTTCACTCCCCAAATGGCCACAGTGCATTTTGTTCATTTAAACAACTGTCGCATGCACTTGCAGCCGTGCTTCTGTCCCATGTCCCATCCACCACCCACGTGCTCATCCCGTTTTGGATTTCTGGCACTGGAACGTGCGAGTCTTCCACCCTGCCTCTGCCCCGGGAAGCCCTGTGGCCTTCCAGACCAGACCCTTCTTTTCCTCATCTATCTTTCCACAATTTCCACCCCCGATTTTCATCCTCCTAGTTTTCTCATGATTCCCTACTAATGGTACTTGGAAGTCACGTTTGAACAAAAAATCTCATCATGGCTGAAAATCAGTAATGACGTGTGTCACCAGACATGCACTGGATAGTCTGGGAAGGGCTGTCACCCAGTGCAGATGCTTATAGCACAATCTGGATAGGAAGATGCTGGCATTTCCGAAGAGATTCAGAGTAGCAGATTGGCTGTGCTCAGGCCCAGCAGGCAATATGCATTTTTAATTTTGAGTGAGATGGGAAGCCATCACCAGTTTTGGGTGGAGTGACATGATCTGGGCAGCAGGTGTACCACTCAGAGAAGCATGCTGTTGCTTGGAGAACACCAACAGGGCTCTTCATCTGGCCTTCAAGGGCCAGAAGCATCCTAGGAGATGGCCAAAAGACTAGCAGAAAAACACAAAGATTGGTTCCAGTCAGGAGTCTGGAGGTGAGCTACAGTGCACAGGGTCCCAGGAATGAGGAATCTGGGCTAAATCCTACAGGGATCCCAGCTATACCCCAGTGCAGCAGGAAGCCAGCCTGGAGTTGTTTAGGGAGGAGGTGACATGTTCTACAGTGTGGCTGCTGTGTGGATCAGGGTGAGGTATGGGGCAGGGAAGGAGTGAGTGAATACAGAGGTGATGGTAGCCCACACAAGGATGGAGAGGAATCACTCAGGAAAGAGCAGCTGGTGGTTGAGTAGTGAGCTGGTTGTCAGGAATGAACATAAGAATCTTGGGGCAAGGAGACAGCTGCCACACTGAGCAGCCAGTCATGCCAGTGTGTGCGGTAACCTTGAGGGGTGTAAAGAACTGGATCAGGTTGATCCATGACCTTTTCTCCCTAATTCGAATTAGGCCCCTAGTTCTACCTGACCTGCAGACTGAGAAGCACTTCAGCATATCTCAGCTCTGTCCGTTAGCTATAGCTTGAATCTCCCTTATCCAACCGAAGTGTTTAAGATTTCAGGTTCTGATATATCTGTGTATACATAATGAGATGTCTTGGGGACAAGTCCCAAGTTTAGATGTGAGATTCATCTAGGTTCCCTATACATCGTAGGCATGTGGTCCAGAGTTAATATGGTAGTTTCAACATGCCTGTTATTTGATTGTCACCTGTTGCAGGAGGTTGGATGTGGAATTTTCCATTCAGGGCTCAGAAAATTGCAGATTTGGAAGCATTTCTGGCCAATCTGCAGCAGCCATGGCTCTGCATACAGTTTTGCTGCAGACTCTGGCTTTCAGAAGAAGGTTAGAGGACCCGTTCTGTTGGCTCATGGATTTGGTGTGCATATGTGAATTTCTAAAAACGAGATCCAAAATCGTTAGCTCCCAGCATGCTTCCTTCTGGAACAGTGATTTCTGCACATTTGGAGTACAGGGAACACTGTGTCGGGCCCGGCAAGGCCAAGTTAATTCTCTCTGAGATTATTCCATGATTTCCCCCAGTCTTTCTGTGTTGTGGAGAAAGACGGCAGCAACAGAAGGGGTGAGAGGAAGCCGGGCTCACTCTGGGACTCAGCTGTGGGGATGAACTGCAGGTGCCCTGGCTGCTCTTGTCTCTTCTGAGTTTGGAGGCTCAGTGAAGCTGAGGGCTGGGGTGCTGAGCACACTGCCCGGAGACATGGGTACTCCTCTGAGGTTGAAGATTGTGTGGGAAAAGCCACCCCTAGCAAGGTGCAAGATCAAAAGTGCATTACAAAACTTGAGTTGAGGCCATCCGTGGGCCCACACACAGCCCTGCTAGACTTCAAACTGAGATTTTTATGAGCATTTTTCACACTCCCCGTGTGATACAGATGCAGGACGGGCACATGGTGGCAGGGTATGTCAACTTGCAGCAGGCTATACACGCCATGGTCTGGATGGGGGCTGGCATTTCCTTCCCCCACACTGCAGTGTCACACGGTTGATGTATTTGTTGCAAAGACAGCAGGAAAAGCTTTTAGAAGATATCAAGATGAGAAGAGAGGCGCCTCACAGGTTTTTCATGCTACTTAGCTCTCCTGAGATGTGTGCAATTTTTGTTTTTTTAATCTCCTTATTGGCTCATTTCAGCTTCTCAGTCTTAACAGCCCAGAGGGTAAGCAAATGTGCATTACTATTCTCCCATTTGGCATCCTTTTAGGAGCCTGGGCTCTTTATTTTAAAGCTTACTGTAGGCAAAAAAATAAATAAAAAGCTTTCTGTGGAACCCAAAATATTCTCACTGAAATAACAATGTTAACAGGGAAGAGCAGGAGTGAACTTTGGAGCTACACTTTGCAGGTGTGTTGTCTGGCTTTGTTATGTCCTTTATTTTGGGGTCCACATGCTGGTGGTCATGGGAGAATTGTTCAGGGGTGCTCTGGCTCCCTTGGTTGTATTTTGTGTGTGTGTGTGTGAAATTACCAGCAGTCGCAGTTAGAGCAGAGAAAGACCCCTCCTCCCCAACTTGGAAATCTCATTCCTCCTGGTGCTTCACCTTGTAACCACAGCAACAAGGATTCTCAGGGTTGTGGGAGTTTTTTTAAAGAAGAAATGATGACTGAATGATTAAGAACATGGCAGGTGAACAGAGAGGACTGAAGGGCTGTATCATGTGATCTTTAACTTGTGAATGAATATATGCTTTCATAAAAAAATCAGTGTGAAATACCCATGATCATGCTGGTCTCCAAGTTGCTCCTTGCCTAACCCGGCAGAACCACTGGAAAGGCCACTGTCGGAGCAGGTGCAGGAGAGCCCTCTAGTGGACAGCGGAGAAGCATCCTTTAAGTAAGCATCATTGTGTCTGACTACACAGCGTGAGCACAAAGTGGCTTGCAGCTTCCTCCTGCTGCTACAGAGGCTGTTCATCAGCAAACCTGTCGTTGGGATAGCCAAGAACATACGTAGGGCTCGCTAAGCAGATACTAAAATGAAGGCCATCATTGCAAGGATATGTGAGGGTCTTTACAGCCCTCCATGAGAAGCCTGGGACTGGATTGGCCAAGTTCAGGGAGCTCTTTTGGTAACCAACAGGTAAGTCCAGATCAGATGAAATGGCCTGACTGCCAAGCTTTCATGTCAGCTAGGCCAGGGGTTTCTTACAATTTGCTGCTGTTTATTTTCCACCCTAAAAGAACATCTCAGTTCTTCTCTTAATTCCTGACCATACCTGAGATCGTAATTTATAGGAAGGTGCTCGTACACTCTTGGCTTAAGATCCAGAGTTCTGTTGGTCCCTTATTGCTTTTCATTAATCATTTATAAGAGGAATCTTCAAAACCTTAAACCGTTGTCATTGAAAATTTATGATATGGCTTATATGAGTTTTTATAAAGCTTGTTGTGTTAGAAATACTACAGGATGTATCTGTACAAAGATGAATATTCTTAGAAAGTAACAAGACCGAACTAGCTCTGTAGTGCTGTGCCAAGGAATGAGCTGTTGCCTGGGACACTGGCATCCCATACTGGCACTGGTTCAAGTCCTGGCTGCTCTACTTCCAGTATAATTTCCCCTGACTTGCATGAAGGAAAGCAGAAGATGGCTCAGGTAGTCTCCCATAAGGGAGCCCAGGATGGCGATCCAGGCTGCTAGCTTCAGCCCGGCCACTGTGACCATTTGGGGAGTGCAGCAGCAGCAAATGGAGGAAGGAAGTGTGGAGTGTGTGTGTGTATCTCCCTCTCTGTAATTCTGCTTTTCAGGTAAAGTTTTAACACACATACAACACACACCAGGAGAGTTTTAAAAGTTCATGGAATATATAATTAAAAGATCTCTCCTGTGGTACAAGAGCATTTCAGGAAACTCCTCAAAATGCACATTATGAAAAAAACTGCATGGAATTTAAAGAATTTCTGCATCAAAATGAACTTGTGTTTCAAGTTCCTTTTCCATGAACTTTTGAAAAGTGTGTGTATTTTTCCAATGCAGTAGGGGAGAGGCTTGTTGTCACAGCCCCCCTTGTTGACCATCCACAAGCCTGTTTCCAGGCAACAAAAGCATGTGTCCTTCAAAGCCTGTCTGATGCTCAGGACCTGTTCAGTGGAGTCAGCCAGTGGAAGTATGGGCTTGGCACGTTTTAGCCACAGTCATAATGAGTCACCTCTGTTTGTGCCATGATGCTGAAGTGCCCAGAACTTATCAGGAAAACTGGTGTGTGTGTGTCCCTTGCTCACCATCCAGGGTCCTCCAGGATCATCCAAGGTCTCCATCTCCCATGCAGCTGCTCAGCCTGAAACAGGTGACTGCTTTGGAGCCCTCTGCCATGTCCTTTCTGGTTGCTGCCAGCAGAGCAGGGTCTCACACCTGCTGGATCACGCTTGGCCATTCCCTCACTGCTCATTCATGTGTGTGTTCATCCAGGAAGAAGTTCTGAGTCTGAGACCAGGTGCTGGCCTGCAGTTTGAGGATGGGATGGTGAAGGCAGTCAACAGGGAAATTATCCCTGACTCGCAATCATGTGTGCATGAGGAGTCATTAATCATAGGATCCCAAGTGAAAATGACCCGCAACAGAAAGATGACATTGAGAGGAGAGTAGGTGCTGAGAACAATGGGTGGCCTTATTTAGAACTGGGGTTGGAAAAAGCTGCTGAGGTGGTAATGTCTACCATGAGACCCAAAGCACATGATAGCCTGTTTGCAGTGGAAGGGAGCGGGAGTGTTTTGAGAATTGTTGGTTTCTCCATCTCTAAGCTAGCATGGTATAAGCCTCTCAATGGCAGATGGTCCTCTTGGCCGTGTCTCGTGGTGTGATCCTTCCCCAGCCATGGGTTTCTTCATGATCCTTGGCTCTCAGTAGCCCAGAGAAGCCCTGTGGGGAAGCTCGGCAGCCAAGCCTCAGGGTGACTTGGCAGGTTAGAACAGAATGGGTCTTGCTAATGTATTTTGAGGCATTTTAGCCATTCACAGGCCATTGGTCCTGACAATGGCACCTGCCTGTCCCAGCCACAGGGTTGCCAAGTGACATGCATATGGTCTTTGGAGCTCATCCCATCTGGGTTTGAACCCCAGTCCTGTGACCTCAAACAAATTCTTTTAAGGTTATTTATTTATTTTTACTTTATTTTTTTAAAGATTTATTTTTATTATTCATTTATTGGAAAGGTGGATATACAGAGAGGAGAGAGAGGAAGATCTTCTGTCCGATGATTCACTCCCCAAGTGAGCGCAACGGCCGATACTATGCCGATCTGAAGCCAGGAGCCTCTTCTGGGTCTCCCACGTGGGTGCAGGTTCCCAAAGCCTTGGGCCGTCCTCGACTGCTTTCCCAGGCCACAGGCAGGGAGCTGGAAGGGAAGCGGGGTTGCCAGGATAGAACCGGTGCCCATATGGGATCCCGGGCGTGCAAGGCGAGGACCTTAACCACTTGTGCCACCACGCCGGGCCCTATTTTTACTTTATTACCTGAGATAATAGTAACCATCCACTGGTTCATCCCAAATGCCCATAACATCCAGGATGGGACAGGGCGGAAGCTGGGAGCTGGGAACTCAGTCTAGGCCTTGTGAGTGGGATTCAATTGCTTGAGCCACCACTGCTGCCTTGCAGGGTCTGCATTAGCGGGAAGCTGACTAGCTAGAGTCAGGAGGAGAGCTGGATAAAAAACACAGGTGCTCTGATGTGGACTGTGGACATCTCGACTTCTAGGGCAAAAACACTCCCAGACAGGTGATCTCAGAGTCCGGTGAGCTCACTTTGAATTTATGAAGTTTTGTCATGATTAATGGGGGCACCTAAGCACTGAGAATTTGCTATAACTTCTTTCTTCTCCCCAAGTCTCTGCTCTATCCTTGGTCACATAAATGCCCTCCCTCATGACCGCTGCTAGAGCCTGAATCTGCTGCAGCTGGGACCTAATGGGCCCTTGGCAGGCCACCTGGGCCCCAAAGTGGGGAAGACAGGAGATCCCTGAGCCCAAACGAGATGTGAACTGGTCAAGAGAACAGGCCAAGGCCAGGCAGAGCCACTCCCGTCACCAAGGTATGGATGATCAGCCAAGGATTTGGTCCAGAGGAGGAGTGGCAGCCAGGCAGACCCATAAGGAAGCCGAGGCTCATGACAGGGCTTAGCTGGGAGGAAACAGAGGCTGTGACTTGGGGCTCCTCGAGACCTGCAGAAGCTGGAACACATTAGGCACTGAAAAAAGAGGCCATTCTAGATGCCCGGGGAGGAGCGGAGGAGCAGAGGTGAAGGCTGTCTGCACTGAGACCTGTGGAGTGATGGGGCAGGGAAGGCAGAGCGCCACCTCAGCAGATAGAACACTGAGCTCAGCTGCGGTGTCACGTGCCATTGTGCTCCAATCTTCTCGTTGCCTTACAGGTCGGCTCAGACGCTCCTAGTTTGAGAAAGGCAGATCTGAAAGGCCGGAGCGCGCTGCTGGCAGACATCCAACAAGGAACCCGCCTGCGCAAAGTCACACAGATCAACGACCGCAGCGCTCCACAGATCGAAAGTGAGTGAGCAGCTCGGCCAGGCCTGCCCTGAGCCACGGGCGGGCCAGGGGGGTGTGGGCCATGACGAGATCTGCCTGCCTGGGCCGCACATGTGACCCAGGCCATGCTTCTGGCCACCTCTGGCCTGCTCAATGGACAGGCCAAGTGGGCAAGAGAACGGAGCTCCCCCCGCCCCCTCGAGGGCGATAGAGGTTTACAGCCCTCCTCCCCCACTTTGCCAGTAGAAAGAAACAGAATTCCACTATAACTTTTGTTTATTGTGGTAAAACCCATGTAACATCGAATCCACTTATCATTTAGAACATAGCATCCAATGACATTTTAGTGCCTTGACACTGCAGTCATCACCCCTGTCTAGTTCTAGAATATTTCTATCACCCCAAAGGAAACCCTATACCCATTAACAGTCTCTCCCCAGCTCCCTCAATGGGGCAGAAGGTACCTTGGAAAGGTGCTGTGTGGATGCGGGACCCTGGACAGAGGCGGTGCTGCAGGTTAGCCTGGAGTGGGCCTAGTGGCCTGCTCTGTGCCAGTCTCAGTACATCCTTTGTCTTACCCCCAGGCTCTAAAGGAACTAGCAAGGAAGGAGGCGGCTCTGCCGGCTCCCGAGGTGGGAGCACACCTCTGGCCCTGGGAGATCTGTTTGCTGGTGGCTTTCCTGTGCTGCGACCGGCAGGCCAGAGGGATGCAGCAGGTAAGGAAGGATCCCGGATGTGTCTCCCCTTGACTTGTGTGCAGAGCCCTCTAGGCAACATACACTTGCCCAGGAGTGAACCGTCACCAAGTAGGGCATCAAGCATTAGGGAACTTAACCACCGGAAGTCTCCCAGGCGCAGAGTTGCTCTCATGGAGTCTTCAAAGGCATCATCCCACTGCAATCATTGAGAAATGACCTGCCCAGCACTGATGCGAGGGGGACTCGGGTGGCAAACAGGCAGTAGGGTCACTGAAGACAAACATGGTAAGAGCTGTGACGGTTATCTGCCAGCCACTGCTCTACAACAAAGCACCCTAAAACTTAAGAGCTTTAAACAACCACTTTTTTGCCTGTGATCCTATGGATGAGCAACTCGGTTTTGTTTGGCTAGACTCCCTCTAGTACATGCAAACAACGGTAGATTAGGGAGGCAGCTCTGCTCAGTTTTCTCCTGTTTCTGCTATCTCTGGGAACTTGGCTGGAGCAACTGAACCAACTCACTTTTGATATTGTTAAGTTAGAGGGAGAGACAGAAGTCTTTCACTCCTGGAGTCACTCCCTAGATGACCACAGCAGCCAGTAGGGGGTTAGGCTGAAACCAAGAACAAGGAGCTTCTGGACCTCCCACATGGGTGCAGGGGGCCAAGCACTTAGACCATCTCTAGTTTTCCTAGGCACATTAGCAGGGATCTGGACAGAAATGGTGCATCTGCGCACGGCACAAAAGCAGTAGCCTAGTGGCTAAAGTCCTTGCCTTGCATGTGCCAGGATCCCATATGGGTGCCGGTTTGTGTCCTGGCAGTCCTGCTTCCCATCCAGCTCCCTGCTTATGACCTGGGAAATCAGCTGAAGATGACCCAAAGCCTTAGGACCCTGCACCCACGTGGGAGACCCAGAAGCAGCTTCTGGCTCCTTGCTTTGGATCAGCTCAGCTCTGGCTGTTGTGGCCACTTGGGGAGTAAATCAGTGAATGGAAGATCTTCCCCTCTCTCCTCCTCTCTGTATATATCTGACTTTCCGATAAAAATCTTTTTTAAAAAAGGAACATCCCATGCCTCTAGGGGATGCTGGCATCAGAGGCAGTGGCTCTACTGCTTCTCCACAATGCAGGGCCACCATCCCTGCTGACTCACTGCTGATCTGTCTCCCTATGAATGATTTATCTATTCAAGGAGTCAGGCATTTCCCACACTCAATGCAGAAACAGTCAAATCCTTGCTCACCAAATGCCGCAGGTGAGGAGCCTGCCCCCGCCAGCACTTCCGGTTGATGCATGTAAGAACCCACCAGAATTTGAGGGCTCAGTAGCCCAGTGGCACATGCCAAGGAGTGTGGGTGTCCCTGGGGGTAAGGAAGAGGAAGGAGACCGTGACAGGTGAGGGCCCAGAATGCACAGCCAGAAAGGCTGCTGGCCACCCTGGGCTTGGCATGGGGCAGCTGTTGCCACGTGTTAGGGCTGGTTGGCCCTCCTGACAACTGCAGACCCTTGCTGCTCCAGCCCTAGGCCTGGAGTATACAAAAGTCCTTCTGGCTTCATGGCTGAACTAACCTGTGTTTCCCTTGCAGGTGGCAAGGCAGGGCAGGCCCCTGGCTCCCGAGCACCTTCTCCAAGGCTCCCAGTCAAAGGCATAGGTGGCCCCCTCAACCCTCCAGCCTCCCCCAGGCTTGGCAGTGCACCAGAAGCCCATGGCACCACTGCCAGGCCCGCTCTTCCTCGTCCTTCCGTCCCTGCCCCCCCACCCCCCACCCCGCCCCCTCCTCCCCCGCCACTGCCCCCTCCATCTCCCTTCAAGAACCCACTAGTGTCCCCACCTGGCCCACCCCCCAAAGGGAGTGTCACAGTGGTGGAGACTGCTGCCCCCAGCACACCTCCGCCCCCACCCCCACTGCCCCCAGCCTCTGGTGATAAGGCAGTGAAGCCTCAGCTCGCCCCTCTACACCTGCCGCCCCTCCCACCCCCACTTCCTCTCCTTCCACCTTGCGGGTACCCCGGGCTCCACTCGGAGCCACCCAGCCCTGCCCAGGATGGGCGGGAACCTCCGGTGCCACCACCTCCACCCCCACCACACCTATCCTCAGCATCCTCACCTAGGGTACCTGTGCCACCACCCCCACCACCCCCACCTCTGCTGGGCCCGAATCCTAGCAGTGAGGCCCCACCCCCGCTGCCACCCAAGTCCCCAGGTGGCCAGGGCCAGCTGTCCAAGGCAGGCACTCCACAGGGCCCACAGCCCTTCCTGCAGAAGAAGAGGCCTGGCCGGGGCCCAGGTGAGCCACGCAGTGGGGGTTGGGATGGCAGCGCTCTGGGACATCCCCGTCAGAATGAGTGCCTGAACAACACTCCAGCAGCTGTGAGGCTCCTGGGCCTTGGGACAAAGCCTGGGCTCCATGGGAATCACAGCTGGAGGTTTCCCCAAGGGAGTAGGGAGGCCTGGAGGCCAGTCCCACGCACACAGACAGGAGAACAGTGGTTCCTCACTCCTGGTGGGACAGAGGTGTGGGCAGAAAGCAGCTGCCTTCTGCCTGCCTGGGAACCAGCTAGGCCCTAAACCCCAGCACTTGAACACACCTCACCTCACAGTAGGTACAAGTCCTGCCATGGAGAACAGTGCCCAGCAGCCAGAAGCCCCATTCTGGTCCAGAAGTCTGAGCCCAGAGTTGGTGTCTGGGAAGGGTCTAGATTGGTGGAGGGAAGATCAGGTTTTGCAATTGCAGGAGCGCCCCTGTGAGCAGAAAAGAGGCCCTGGCAACCACTCCTGCAGGCTGCCTACTTGCCCCTGGCTGCACAGAGCTCTGCCCGTGGCTGAGGGGCTGCTGCTTTGGGCTATATCAGCTGCTCCCAGTGCCTTCGCCAACATTAACACTGTCTGAGCACCTGTGACCCTTTGCAGCCCAGCGGATCAGAGCACCTGTTCAGTCCTCTAGGGGAGTCACTACTATGATGCATCCCATCTCATAAGACCCTGGAGGTTTTCTTCCTCACCCTATCTAGTCATGGCTACAGATGTAAACAGCTAAACCCCAGTACAAAGGCACCCCCTTCCCTCTCGGGTCTCAATGTACCATCACTGTCTTCCATGTCAGGGGCCGGTGGGGCGAAGCTGAACCCACCTCCAGCACCACCTGCAAGATCTCCCACCACGGAGCTCTCCAGCAAGAGCCAGCAGCAGGCCCCAGCCTGGTCCCCGACCACGCAGCCCGGAGGACAGGTGCGGAATGGAAGCCTGCCCGTCATCGGTGAGTATAGCATACTTCCAGGAGGGCGGGATTTCTCCAGGCCCCAGAGGATGTCTGCTGCCATCTTGGGAGCATGCACCTCCGTGAACAGGGGACCCTCCTGCACACATAGCCACTTCTGTGGTCAGGGAGAAAGGGTTTTCTCTCCAGGTGGCCATTCCACAGCCGATTCCACGGCCGATCCCCACCCCTGGTTCAGATGAGAGGAAGAGGGGCTTGCCTATAACCCCTGCCTGTGTGTCCATGAGCCTGTAAGAGCACAGTGATTTGTGCGACAGGAAGGGATGGGTGGTAGGCAGTTAGGTGGTTGGCAGGATGAAAGTCAGATAACCGACCACAGGACCTGGCATCCCTGCTATGGACTGGGCTCCTCTCAGATGCAAAGCAGGGGTTCAGCCCCAGGATAGGCCCCACAAGCTCTAACCTCCTGCCATTAGGAGCCTGGACCACAGCCCATTTGCTCCGGGAAGCCCGAGTCCCAAATTGGACAGGCCAGGTCCCTTCATACCAGCCAAACCAGACTACTTCCTGCCTTGGCTCTCTGCTCCAGAGCCCAGCAGCTGCTGGGGCTACTGAGACTTTGGCCCCGACCCTATTCTGCCTTTACATGCAGATGGGTGGTGAGGGGAGACAAGGCCATGTGACTGTGGATCCCAATGTTTGTGTTGGATGGGGTGGGGGGCAGTATCAGGACCTTGTGCACCCTGGGGAACAGCCAAGGCCAGGTTCACACGATGACTGCAGTAATGCCTCTTGTTTCTCCTGTGTGCAGACGACTTTGAGTCCAAGTTTACCTTCCATTCTGTGGAGGACTTTCCCCCTCCAGATGAATATAAAGCCTGCCAGAAGATCTACCCCAGCAAGATCCCCAGAAGTGAGTACTGGCCAGAGGCGCCTCCAGCCAGGAGGCTCCAACACCAGGTGCTCGATGTGCACTTCAACAGGAAGAATAGTACCTGGCTTAGCTCACAACCACGTTCTTTGGCAAGGTCCCCCTGCAGGGACAGGTCCAAGTCCCTTCAGCAGAGCAGAGCGGGCTGGGCCTGCCCAAGCCTGAGGTCCTCTCAGACACACAGCTTTCCCTGCTGACCCATGGGAATGCACATTGAGAAATGACTGTGTGCCTTTTAAGATTCATTTGAAAGAGGGGCAAAGAGGAGAGATTTTCTGTCTGCTAATGCACTTCCCAAATCAGCCAAGCAAAAAATTCCAGTCCCTGTTCCCCCTGGAAGTGCAAGGACTCGAGCCCTCTGCTGCCTTCCTGGGTGTAGCAACAGGGAATGCACGCTGCTCGGGCAGCGGCTTAGCCCCCTGCAGCACTGTGCTCACCTCTGTGTCAGCTCTGAATGACACGGAGATGCCACTTCTCAGAACTGATGAGGAAAGGGATAGCGGCAGAGGAGATCTGGCAGTGGTGGTGAGTAGGGCTGGATCAGCTCACATTCCTACTCACCTTTCAGCAGGTACCCTGAAATGCCCAGGGGTGCAGAGTATAAAAAGCACAGGCTGTCGACATGTAAGACAATGTGGCTGTGACACAGCCACTCTTCACAGGGAGCTGGGACTGGAGAAGGAAGCTCACGGCTAGAGACCACTCTGTGTAGGATGAGCACCTCCGGGCTGAGAGAGCACAGAGTGTGGAGTCAGTGGGAGGCTGCTGGTGGATATACCAACTCCACGTCAAGGTAGGCCCTTGGTACAGCAGCTAAGTTCCCATGTCAGAGAACCCGGTTTAAGTCCTGGCTCCTCCATGTCAGAGCCAGCTTCCTGATGAATGCACACCTGGAAGGCAGCAGGTGATGGCCCAGGTACTTGGGTCCCTGCCACCTGTCGGGGAGACCTGGATGTCATTTCTAGCTCCTAGCTTAAGTCTGATCCAGGCTGGCTGTGGCCTTTAGGAAGCCACCCTCCAGTCAAGAGTCCCACAGTGAATTTGTAAGTTAATCAGAGACTCCTGGAGCCACTTTGTTCTTTAGGCTCCATGACATAGACACAGCCCACACCTTGGGGCTGTCCTAGTGGCAGGGGAGGAGTGACAGCAGCCACCTTCACACCATCTGCTTCCAAGTGCCTGCAATACACAGAAATACTCCTCCTGTGGGTTACGGCACCACAAGCTTGAAAGCCACAGATTTTTCAAAGATTTAGTTGAAAGAGAGTGAGGAAAGAGAAAGTGGGGAAGCAGAGAGCTTCCATTTGTGGCTTCACTTCCCACATGACCACGATAGCTGGAGCTGGCCAATGCCAGGATCCCAGGACTCCGGCCGGGCCTCCCTCGTTGGGCGGCAGCACTTGGGTCAGCAGGGAGCTGGATCTGAAGCCGAGCATCCAGGACTTGACACAGTGCTCCGACAATAGAATGTGACCCCCTCAAGCCATGAGTTAACCTGCTCCTAAGTGTATCTTTACATTCCCTTCACTAACCTTAAAAACGTTTTTATTTGATATGAAAGATGGAGGGAGAGCGTGAGTGAGTGAACTTCCGTCCACAGGTATACTTCCCCAAGTGGCCATAACAGCCAGAGCTGGGCCAGGCAAACACCAGGAGGCTCACCCTGCATCCAGGTCTCCCATGTGGGTGGCAGGGGTCCGAGCACTTTGGCCATCTTTTTCTGCTGTCCCAGGCTCAAGGAGCTGGACTGAACTCAAGATATGGGATGTCGCATCACAGGTAGCAGCTTAACTTGCTGTGCCACACCATTGGCCTTAAAAGCCATCGTGTAGGTGAATCAAATGCCCTTGTGTGGAAATACAACCAGAGAAAGGGTTAGTGGCAGCTCCTGAGAGGGACAGTCCCTTTGGGGAACCATCTGGATGACCCTGACCCCACCATGCACTCACGGCAGTAGTACCTCCTGTCCCCCAACAAGACCCACAGTTTGCAGTTCTGCTTCAGGAAGAAACCACTTGAGCTACAATGTTTTTTACTGAGCTACTAAACTGCCCGAGGGTCCAGCACGCCTGCTGTGTTTTGCTCCCAAATCTCTTTGCTTCTAGGGCATATCTGCTTTCTTTAATGTCCACTTGCTAGATGTTTTACACCTCCCAGAGGCCCTTCTACACAGCAGCTCACTCTAAATGTCTTACAATGACGTCCACAGGTAGAAAACTAGGAAACACACTGTAGCAAACTTAAGTATTTCTGGGAGAATTCTTCGTATGTGTGCATTCAGATATATACATGTGTATTATATATGCATATGTACATATATATTTTGTACATATGCATATATAATATTTAACATATTTAATATATAATATATAATATGCATATGTACATATATATTATATATATTTCAAATATATATAATATATCAAATATATCAAAATATCAAAACCTGAGGCGTGGGCAGTCTTCCTCCCAGGAGGCGTCTTTAGTGTATAATTTATTTTTTTCTGTGACTTTAACTAGTGGAGCTCATTCATTTTCACAGTTTCATTTTTTCCAAGAGTCTCTGGAAACTCCTGATATTCCAGCCCAGGGTACCGACCCCTAGCATGCCTAGGAACTGCGTTTAATGCAGGTCAGTGCCAGGCTTCCACTACGAGAACCAAACACCATTTGTGAGCCACACAAAAGGATTGATTTAAAAGTTAGCCTGCTACAGAACTAATACATTTCAAGTGCCAACTGTGGTTGCCTTTTCAGGACCAGACCAAATGCTTTCACAGGCCTTCAGGTTTGTTTTGGTACAAACCTTTTCGAAATCCCTCTGTGCTTTATTTAACATAACAGGCATTTTCCACATATTTTTTAAAGGCCTCTCAAATGCATTAGATGATAAAAATCCTTGCACCAAAGTAAGTTTAAATTCCATTTTCCATAAACACTTTGAAATCTACATACTTAGATATGTGGAAATGGAAATCAAAAGGAAAAACTGAGGCATGGGCAGCTAACCAACCACTAGGAGCCCCATGTCCCTTGTCTGAGCGTCTGGCTCCAATTCCCAGCTCCAGCCTGACCCATCCCTGGCTATTGTGAGCATTCAGGGAGTAGACTAGAGAAAGTCAGGGGGAAGAGAGATTAGCCACGCTGACTCTGGAATAGGAAAATTGGGATAACAGGGAGGAATAGGTAGAGAGGGACCATGACTTGTTAAGCAGGCAAGCAGATCTGTGTGCAGTCTGTGTAATACTTCCAAGTTGGGTTCCTCATTCTTATTAACCAACCTTGCAGTGCTGGGCAGCTGGCCATGCCCGGCAGCATGTTCCAAGTCCCATGTGCTCTTAACATGTCCTCCTTGCCACATGCTACCTGCAACTCCCCTGCATCCATGCCATATGACTAGGAAACAGGGGTTCCCACCCCTGGGGGCTGGGCATCTCCTATTGAGGGGCTCATGTTAACCTGGCTCCCTGGTGCTGGGGTAGCACACATTTCCCTGGGGATGCCACATAGCCTGAGGCTGGGCTGGCGGACAGGGAGAGGATGGCTCTGGTCTCTTGCAGGCCGCACACCCGGTTCCTGGCTCCCGGCTGAGGCAGCTGCACAGAGCTCTGATGACATCAAAGGCAGGAACTCGCAGGTAACTTCCCGCTCAGCTGTCTTAGGGGAACACTGTGGGAGGAGGGCTGTGGTCCTGCAACACGGAGCCCATCATTCCGTTTTAAGCCAGAATGAAACATGACCACTTCGCACTCTGGCGGAAGAAAGCTGCATGTCGCTTAGGCCACTACCACGTCTCAAACCAAGATTCCCCAGCCCCTTTCTATTTTGTTCCTCTAAAGACTTTGTTTATTTGAAAGGCTGAGTTAGGGAGTGGCCCAGCAGATGGAGGAGTTCCTCCTCCCCAGTCTCTAAGTGGCTGCAATGGCTGGGTCAGGCACTCCATCTTGGTCTCCCACATGGGTGGCAGAGACCCAAGTATTTGGATCACCCTCTGTAGAAGAGCCCTCTCTCCCAGACACTCTGCCCTTCAGATGAACAAATAAATGAACAAACAGAATTCTCCTTTTCCTGGCATGGCAGCAGCTCCTGACCTTGACACTGTGTGCATGAGGGCAGAAGCTGCATGCCGGCTCAGACACGTCCTTCAAGGGCAAGGTGCTGCTGCTCCCACCCCCACCTAGTAACAGTCTGTTGTCTCTGCAGCTCGCGATAAAGACACTGCGGTGAGGAGACAGACACTGCCGTGGCCCTGGCTTCCAGGTGGCACATGGAGAAGAGGCCCACTGTGTGTGAGCTCCCACCGGCTTGCCACCCAGGCTCCAGGTGGAGTCCCTAGTTATTGTAAATACGTGATTTGCACGAGCTTTAAAGCAGCATTTTCGTCAACTTTTAGTTCGTATTTTTAAGAATACCTATATCCCCATTTTTTTTTAAACAAATGCATCTTGGCATCCATCGGAGCCCTGTTCGCTCCCCACCACCGACAGCGTGTACGCGTGACTACAGTGCTTGAGACTGGCCCCAACTAGCTTCGGAACTGACCCACCTCCACTGGCGGGTGGTCCCAGAGTCACAGCGTCTGCCACAGCCTGCGGTCAGCATGCTTTCATGGCCTCATTGCACCCCAACACCAAACCAAACAATGCCTTAGAAACGACGCACCCAGAGGAAGCAGTGGGACACCCCCTGCATCTCGCTTCTGTTTCACAAAACAGGGAAGTATTTTGCTGCCTAGTTGTAAATATATCCCAACGTCAAGGCGAGAGGGGCCTGGGCCCCTCCCATGTGGACCCCCAGAGCCCCTTTTGTCACTGAAAAACTCTACAGTAGCCAATGCTCTTACTGTTTACAGAATCCCTGCAGCTCACGTCTCTGTCACGTCCAAGTTCCCAGCCCCATCCTGGTAGCCAGGGTAGGGTCCGCTTGAGGAGGGTTTGGTGGTCCCATCCCTGTCTGCCAGTTACAAACAGATGCAGCTCGTTATTCTAGTAAACCACAAACTCTCCACTGCCCCAGCCTAAGTGCAGAACCACGAGAACACAGACCGAGAGGGGAGTGAGTGAGGCGTCTCCAGACTCAGCTGGCGAATGTATCTGGTACTGGGCCCACACGGTCACATGCACCCTAGGTCCCTCGCACCTCAAGGTCTCCATCTCCCTGCGGGAGACGCACCTGGGAGGGGATGGTCCAAGTTCAACTTACCCAGATGTGACCAAGTCAGGTGGGCTGGGCCCGCCCTCTCTCCCACTTACCTTGAGTCAGCAAGGGAATAGAATGTGGCTTTTGCTGTGGGGCCTGGAGGAGAGGCAGAGGCTGTCAGAGAAAGCCACACGAGGAGACACACTGATTCAGGTCAGACTAACCGTATCCTCTCCAGCTGCCGTCCAGCTTTGTCAACCAATCAGAGCGCTCAAGATCACCACGAAGCCATCCCCAGGCAGGTGCAGCCTCAAGCTGGACTGCTCGCCCCAATGAGGCATTTTTCACATTTGGGGTCCAAGGACCAAGGAGAGGCATAAGCAGAAACCAAAAAGGACAATGAGGGAGAAATCTCAGGAATCCGCCATCCTCAGACCCGTCCCCGAGGCCAGGGCCCTGGAGTGCCATCCGGTGTGGCCAGGGTTTACCCTTGACTGTGAGCTCAGCAGACCTCCGAGCCGCAGCGTCCCTGCCATCCCCACAGGGGTTTCGCTTGTGTTTTCTATTTATTGGTGTCTCCCTCTGCAGATCTGTTTCTTTATATACGTAATAAACTCTAGTAAATGGAAATGCTTTGGGTTGTTTCCTTGTTAAGGCCGATCGAGGGCCACCCAATGAGGATCTAGGAGTTCCTGAGAGGCACAGACCAAGCTGGACACATGCCCAGCTGTTGTGGCATAGTTGGCCTCTGGGTTGCAGCTGATGGACACATAGGGAGGGGAACGTCTCAGGGGGATTTGTTTTAAATGGTAAATATCACTGTATTTAACCAGTTTTAGGAATGTGTTTAGTTCTAAAAACTTGTGTTAAAATGGAGCAATTTCCAACTTGCAGTGGCTGAGCTTGCTGTGCCACCTTAGCCCCACAGGTGGCTAAGGACAGAAGAGGGGAATCCCAGGAGGCGAGAGGGAGGACAGGATTGGAAGGATTTACCTGGCAAACCGGGGACTATCTCCATTTGGCCTCTGTTTCTTCCTGTGTCAGGTGTAGACAGCTCTACGTCCCAGAACCTGTGCTGGTCAAGGGCCCGGGACTTGACATGGACGAGCCCCTAACTTAGTCACAGCACAGCAAGGTGACAGTTACCCTGTGCCCCCTGCCCACCTGTTTGCATGGCACACGCGCAGGCACAGACCAGCTCTGCTGGCTGCATCCCAGGCTCCCCACAGAGGTGCCGGCTGAGCTGCTCAGTGCACGAACTTCCTGGACTCCCCGGCTTGAGAACAAAGAAGCAGTGATTCACATTCACAGACGGTCCCAAAATCAATCTCATCAAGAGATGCCAAGGCCAGCCGGCTCCTAGAGGTTCCACATCAGAGTTAGCTCAGTCATGGTCCAAGCCCACCTGCCAAGCAGAGGGTGAAAGCCACCGACTGTGGAGGGTGGGGAAGGCACTTCAGGCTCCCCCCTGTGAAGAAGTGAGCTCCAGCAGAGCCAGGAGAGCAACCCAGTGCAAGGCCTGTGGACTCCGAAAGCAGGTGCAGGTTCTCTAACCATCACCCTGGGAGGTTTGAACACCCCTCACGGACCTGTCCTATCCACCCCCACAACCCAGAACTCCTAAGTAGAAATTCCAGCTCCCAGCACTTCCACATGGGACCCTGCATAGAAACAGGGTCACTGTGGGGGTGATGAAGTCATAGCAGGCACAGGGTGGGGCCTTCATCCAAGATGCCAGACATCCTTACCAAGAATCACAGCCATGCACACAGGGAGAAAGCAAAGGCAAGAAGAGACAAGGGTGATGTATCTATAGGCCAGGGGCTAAAGACTGCAACAGGAACTGAGAGAAATGGACCAGATTCCCACAGCCCTCCCAAGGCACCCTCCTGGCCAACACTTTGTCTTGGACTTACAAGGATGGTGAGGTGGAAAATGCCTCCTGGCGACACTGCCCCACGTGGGGTGCTGTTGTGTTAGGCAGCATCCTGGAGCTCCGCAGCAGTGTGCCACTCACGCCTGCAGAGCCGGCAATCGGATGTGGAGAATTAGCAGCTCGTGGTCCCGTCCTGACCTGCAGGTCACCTGCAGCAGGTGGAAAGATCTGCTTTGCACACACTAGGCCTGTCCGAGTGCAGGATCCGGAATTCCTGGCTCCTTCTACACAGGCATTCTCTCTCCAGCCGTGGGGCTGAGGATGCTTCAAAGCAGCCTGTGGCTGCCCCAGCCATTCTCAAGCTCTGGCCATCTGGTTCTAGCGTGTTCTTTACACTTGTGTAAGATGCGCCTGATGTGCAGTTTGCTGTCTCACCAGTGTCCGGTGGCGGTAAGCACGGTCCACTGGTGCCACAGTCCACCTCTGGAACGCACCTCACTTTGCAGAAATGCAAACGCTGGCCCATGAAGCAGGAATTGCCCCCTTCCCCTCCCCTGCACCCTGGCAAGCACTCCTCCACGGACCTCACTAGTGTCGGAATCCCTTAGATGCACACAATGACATCATCCACCTCCCTGTGACTGGTTTCCCTTGGCTCAGGGTCCTGGAGTTCACACCTGCTGCCCTGGCCCTCTTTAAGGCGGAGGAAGCTGGCTTCACATGGACACACTACATGCCGCTTATCTATCCCTGTCTGGCCACTATCTCAGCCGTCCCTGTTTCTGTCGTCATGAACAACGCTGCTGTGAATGTGGGCGTGCTGCAGACACCTTGTGGACACACCCAGAAGTGCGCTTGCTGGCTCTGACATTAATTCTTTGTTTCATTCTTTGAATGTGCTGCGCTGTGTCACATTCCCACCCACAGTGCACGAATGTTCCATTTTTCTCTGCATCCTTACCAACACCCAATTTCAGTTTTTTCTCTTTTCATACATTTGTTATTTGAAAGACAGAGTCATAGAGAGAGAGAGAAGATAGATCTTCTGCCTGCTGGTTCACTACAAAATGGCTGCCAACAGCCAGGGCTGAACCAATCTGTAGTCAGGAACCCCCGTGACGGTAGGGGGTCCAAGGACCTGTTCCATCCTGCACTGCTTTCCCAGGCCATGAGCAGGGAGCTGGATTGGAGGTGGAGCAGTCAGGACTCAAGCCAACACCCATATGGGATGCCGGCACTGGCATGCCATGGTGCTAGCCCCCATTTTCTGTTTTCACAGTTGTGCTCTATTGTATGGGTGATATTTTATTTCTAATGAGTAGATTCACCCGCACAATTGTACACAATGAGGACAGGCACTGAGCACAGTGGTTGACTTAACTGCATGGGATACCACATCCCGTATCAGAGTGACACATCTGCATTGTGGCTCTGCTTCCAATCCCATTTCCTGCTAATGCGCACGCTGGGAGGCAGCAGGAGGTGGTGGTACAAGGAGCATTCTGGCACACAGGGGAGACCTGGATGGAGTTTCAGACTCTTGGCTCCAGCTGAGCCCAGCCCTTGATTTTGCAGGCACCTGAGGAGCAAACCAAGAGAGGGAGCATCCTGATTTCTCTCTCCCTTAGTACATTTTTCAAAGGATAGAACACAACACCAGATATTCCTGAGCTGAGTTTCCTGCAGATACCTGATGGAAAACCACATTCCTTTCCCTGCATTTTCTCTGTGACTGGTGAGCTCACCTGTCCATGAGGCACAAGACAGAAGACTGGACCTTCGTTTCAGTACTTTTTATTGTAGGCATTTAGAGACAATTCCAGGGCAAGCACTGGCTAAAGACATTATCTGGTTTGTAGATATTTGTACAAAACGACTGTTAAGACTACAAGGTCAGCTCCCCCTGTAGGAGACAGAAAGATTTTCTATCATTATCCCCTGCTAATAGCGTTTTTCAAGTAACATGTTTATATTCTCACAACATGATTGCAAACATGGACATACTGGTTCCCACCAGCGATCTGCAGGTGACACTTTGGGATGGCCAGATTCGATCAGATGAAGGACACTGGGACACAACTGCAAGAGGGGAGCTGGGACTCTGCACAGTCTGGGATGAATCGGCACAGCCATGGCCACGGGGATGCACTGGGAAGTGCCAGAATGGGGCCACTCCACTGGCTGCCTGTCACATGCCCTCCCTGCCTCCCCCCTGCACTTCCCATATCATTCCTCAAGGGTCAGAGCATAGCAGCACTTCCCCAGCACTCACACCTGTCCCACCTGGCTTCTCTGCAGGCCAGCCCGAGGCTGTAACATAAGGACCCACGTGGAATGATGCCAAGAAGGAAGCAAACTAACTGACCTGGTAACTCGTTTTCTATACCCAATGATTCACCTGGGCAGAGAGGCTCCTGGCTGAGATGCCCTGGGCACACCCTGCCCTGATGGCGTATAGGATGGACTCCTGATGTTAACAACACAGGGGTTCAGCATGATGACAGGATAGGAAGTGCTCCATCACTTTGATGGCATTTTTATTCTAACTGGACTTTCAGGCCCTCTCAGACTGAGAGCCCGAGCTCTACTCTCCTGAGTGACTCTTCCCTGACGGGTGAGGGTAAGAGTGGGCCTCATCCCCTGGGCACAAAGGGTGGGCAATGACCTAACGCCTCCAGCATCCCCCATGACATGGGCTGCATGTTCTTCCTGCATGAAACAGCCTGACCAGATACAGACACGGCAACGTGGCAAGTTACTCACACCCTGCCCTTCCACCATCATTTCCCTACCCCTTCTCAAATATGCTTGTTGCTGGCTTTGCCTTCAGACACACAATCTCTGGCCCAGGAATTATCCACGCACTAAGCACTTTTCTCCATTTCCAAGCAAACACCTCACTATACCACTACTGAAAATCCAACAACTTGCCAACTGTTCACTTAGCAGACACTGACAGAGTACAATCATCACAGCAGATTCTTTGCTGGCCTCTCTCCATCGCCCACCTCAAAGCATGAAGAAGCCATCTGTCTGCCAACACTACTCTGGTTTTGACCATCAGTGGACCACCTTGTGGCCTGGTAGGGGCAACCAGGCCTGATTCATGTCTGCCCGGCTCTGCTGCGCCCTCCAGTGGTGAGACAGGGACATCACCGCCACATGCCTAAGCCAACAATCGCTTAGGGTTGGTTCTACCCAGACATGTTCAACCCCAGTCTGCAGACCCTGCACCCCTCAGGGAGGCAACAACTGCATTTACCGATTTACTGCCACATGACCAGGTAATGGCCCACAGGGTCACCTTGGGCCTCCGTAACTGAATCTCAGGCTAGACACTGAATGACAGTGATGACCCAGGCACATCAGGCCTCGGGACACGTTTTCATCCTGAGGACAGGTGAGACTACACCACATGCCTTTCTGCATGACCTTGGTCAGCTGGACTCCGGGGAGGACAGGACCCGCATCTCATCTCGCCTTGCCTCCCCGCGCACTTGGGGACAGCTACCAGCACATGTTCATGGCTCCTACAGTGAAAGCCCGGATCCAATCTGCATGAAGCTCTGAGCAACTTGATACTGCCGTGATGGACAGCCATGACCCGAGAGATGAAATGCCCACCCCTCGGCGGTGACCTTATGTGTAGAACTGGCAGCACTGTAACTCCCTTACCCCCACAGCATCCATTGGAAGCCCTGTCTCCCACACATGGCAAAGACTAGAGGGACTGGGTCCCTTGAACCCTCTCTTGGGGAGAAAAAAAATCAAAACAAACCTGTCCAATTGCTTGGACCAAACCTTCCTGCCACTTCAAGGAGGAACTCCAGGTGCCAACAGTGACCCCTGCTGGCCAGCAGAGCTCCCACAGGAGGCTATAAGCAAGACTCCAGACACTGTGGAGCATATGGAGCCCCCAAAAATCTACTGGACCCAAAAAGTGAGTGGGTGGAGGCGGCAAAGTCTGACACTCAGGGTGACAGCCTCAGGACAAGGGGCCTATGTCCCTCCTGCTGGGAGGGGTTTGTTCACTCTGGGTCACTTCTGAGACTGGGCACTCAACAATGTTTCCATCTTCCGAGCATGATGAAGCATGTTGGGCTCCCATGGCACTCTCTTACCAGCCACCCCTGCCCGGGCCACTTCTGGAGTGCAGGAGCATCGCGGTGGGGGGAGGCAAGCCCCAGCACCGCCATCCACCCACTTCACCTGCTCATCTGGAGGAAGCTACCAGAACATGAGGACTAAGGGGACTGAGTCAGGAACAGTTACTTCATACACACGTCAGTAGGATTTCCAGTAGGATGGCCTGTTGTCCTGCAGGGAAGCTCCTCTTCGTCCATCTATCACCCCCTCGCCCTCTGTCCCCTCAGGGCCAAGCCATCTGGTCTTCTCTGTATACATCCTGTGTTCCAGGATAAGTCAAATCCTTACTATGAACATGACATTGAACCAAAACCATTTTCTTCAAGCCACAGCACAGAGAGAAGGTAGGGACTGCTCGCATTCCAGCTAATCTACCTCCCGTCAAAGCAATCATCACTTTCTCCTCACCCTGCCCTTCTGAATGGCTCACAGCACTGTGGGGCTGTTAAGAGTCCAAGTGGAGATGCTGGGAGCCCGACCTGGAACTGGGTCTGCCGGGCTGCACCCACATGCCAGGTGCACTGCTGGGCAGAGACAGCCATGGAGCAGCTGAGGGAAGCCCCTGGCATGGTCATCTTTAAACCTAACTGCTGGCTGACCAGCTCCCACGCACAAAGAATGGAAGCCCAGCTCTTCAAGATCATGGGGACGAAGGGAGAGCTAGGACAGAGAGGAGCCCTCTGTAGCCTTGGGGACACAAGTGTTATAGCCATATACTCCAGGCAAGCGGAGCCATCGGGCCTCTCCCTTCTCCTTTGACTGCACCCTGGGTGCACAGAAAGCTACCTCTTGGGAACCTGCAAGAACCATGACCATGAGGGAGGCTCAGCATGGCTGCTGCACCTGCCAGCCCTAGCCCTGCCCGGGCATGACGGAACTCCGCTGCTCTTAGGAAAAGCAAATGGGTCCACTGTCACCAAAATAACAATGCTAGCAGCCAATGACTCACACAACCGAACGACAGGCAGACAGGACGCGTGGGACCTGGCAGAGGAAGGGGGACAACGGAAGGGCCGTGGCCGAACACGAGGGAACAGTTCCATCTGGCTTCGGCATGGGAGACCACAGCTCGACCTCCTCCGTCTCCTCCAGCAGCAGAGGGGGCGTGTGGCGCTGGTCACTTAGTACGGTGGGAAGTGTTGAGAGAGGAGGGGAGGGGCCCGCTACCTTCACTTGAAGAACTTGATCTCCGTGTCGACACAGTCGTAGAACAGGTCTCCCACCTCGGCAGGGTCCAGGGGGCTGGAGCTGTTCAGGAGCTCCTCCATGGCTTCCAGGCCTTGCTTCTCCAGCTCCAGCATGGTCTTCTGCAGCTGCTGCCCCTGCTCCTGCAGGAGACGGGAGAGGGACATGGCCACTTGACACGGAAGCAAGGCTGCCTGGGCCTGGCGTGTGGCAAGCCACGGCAGTAGGGGGTTAGGGGATCTTGCCTTGCCTCTTGCCCACCCCTCCCCCACGGATCCTGGTACATCCAAACCCTTGCGTCACATCCACACAGGAGTCCCTCTCACTCACCAGGCCACCTCTTCAGCCTGGCCTCCCTTCCTCCATGCCACAGCACCTGTTCTCCACTGCAGCGTGGCCCTGCCCTTCCTCGCTCCATGCATGGTCACCTCATTGCATACCTGCAGGCCTCCCTGGACCTCCAGGACCCTGCCTTTTCCTCCTGCTGGGTGTCTGTCTCTCCTTCTCGTGCTGTTTTTTCCTACCTGCCTGTACCCTACAATGACCACCATCTCCAGGGGAGCTAGAATTGGGCCTCTGTCTTCCAATGAGTGACTGGAACACAGGCAGCTCCCTCCACAGATGCTTGCTGGGTAAGTAAACAGCTGTCTTTCTCCAAGGCAGCACTGGCACATCTTTCCATCAGGAATCATGCAATTACAGGAGCCCACCAGGAAAACCCTCCTTTGCCCAGTGGGTCCCAGACCAGAGAGGCAGCTCCGTACCCATCTGCCCCTTCCCAATGCTGCCTTTACTCCAACAATCATGTCTGAACTCCAAAGCCCACGTGCCTCAGCCCCTTTGGGACACACAGCCCTTCCTCTGCATGCTTGCTAGCAAACACCCACAATGTCCACCAGCAGCAAGTCCCGTGTTTGGTCCACACAGGGACAGCTGCCTTCTCCCACCCATCCCCGACCATCAGCCCTGGCAGGAGCTAACCGCCGCCCCCGGGGAAAGGCTGGCATTCTACACAGTGATGCCTTGTGGCTCTAGCTGAATGCACTGCTAACCTTTTCCTGCCGAGCCTTCTGACTCCCCTGCCCCATGCCAAGCAGGAAATCATATGCTTGCCCTAATTCCTGCAAACGGTAGGAGACAATTTCCCCAATCAATGTGCCTTTTCTCCAGGACAGACTGGGTCTGTTAGAAGCCATGACATACAGGCTTGGAGCGGTGACAAATGGCTTACAGACTCATTCTTTCCTTCTTCCTGCAGCAACATATCAACTGGGACCACCCCTAGCAGCTCAGGGCTGCTAGCCACTGTGGCCATTATGGCATTTTGAAAAATGTACCTTTGGCCGTTTGAGGGTATGGCTCACTGATACTAAATACCTTCACTACTGCCAGGCAGCTCTCACCACCTCCTATCTCCAGAACTTTCCTGAAGAATCACTCTTTGGGAACAACACTCGATACCATTTTTAAATGTGGGAGCTGGCATCAGGGCACAGAGGGTAAAACCACCACGTGTGACACCAGCATCCTGCCTCAGAGTCTGATTCGAGTCCCAGCTGCTCTTCTTCCAATTCAGCTCCTTAGACATGTACTGGGGGAAAGCAGCAGAAGATGGCCCGAGAGCCTGGGCCCGTCACTGTGGAAGACCCGGATGGAGCTCCAGGCTCCAGCCTGCAACCTGGCCCATCCCCAACCACTACCGGCACATGGAGAGTGAACCAGGGATGAAAGATATCTATTCCCTACCTCCCTGTGGCTCTCCTTCTCTCTCAGCCTTTCCAATGAAGAAAATACATCTTTTTAAAAACACAGCGTTATCAAGTGCCAGTTAGCCCCTCCTGAAGTTTACAGGGCATCTGAGCATGGCAGCAGCCACCCCTACTACCACTGCAGGCTCTCTCATTCCTGCGTAACCGTCCAGGAAGGCGAGGCTGTCTCCTGCCCACAGCTCCTGGCTCAGCTCAGGCACTGGCCCCTTCTCATGTGGGTCTGGAAATCAGCGGCAGCATGCTCGATGGAGCCTGTCACACCGGGGAGAAGGCGCACAGGCTGCAGCCAGCTGGGCCTGGATGTGGCCTTGCCCACCTGTGTAGCCCGGCCTGGCCCCGAGCTCACCTGGCCACTCTCGAGGACAGCGCGTGCCCACTCGTGGGCCTTGTACAGCTCATGCCGGTGGTCTCGTGGCTCCTTTTGGGCAGGGTCTTCATCCCCGACACAGGGAGACTGCGCTTTGGGGACAGGCTTCACATCATCCACGAAGATGAAAGGCTTGAATATGGACCTGCAGGGAGGGCGAGCAGAGGCACGTCAGGCCTGGAGAGCAAACACTGCCTGGGCACAGCATGTGAGCCCGCTGCCTGTGGCGCTGAGTCCCATGTCGGTGCTGGTTTGAGTCCCAGTTGCTCTGCTTCTAGTCTGGCTCTGCACCAATGCACCCGAGAAGGCACAACACAGCCCAAGTGCCTGGGCCCTTGTGCCCATGTGGGAGGCCTGGAAGAATGTACAGGCTCCTGCCTTTGGCCTGGCACAGCCCTGGCCGTTGTGGTCATTTGAAATGAATCAGGGTATGCAAGAGCCATCTAGCCTCTCTGTCACTTCACTTTTGAAGTTAACTTTGAAAACCAAAAGCTATGGGGCTAGCACAGTGGCATAGCAAGCTAATCCGCTGACTGCAGTGCTGATGTCCCATATGGATGCTGGTTTTGTCCTGGCTGCTCCACTTCCCATCCAGCAACCTGCTTGTGGCCGGGGAAAGGATGACCCAAAGCCTTGGATCCTGCAACTACACAGGAGTCCTGCAAGAAACTCCGGCTCCTTGGATCCTGCAACTAGACAGGAGTCCTGCAAGAAACTCCGGCTCCTCGTTTCAAAGTGGCTCTTCTGCAATCATTGGGGCCTTTAGGGGAGTCAACCTGGGGAAGGAAAACCCATCTCTCTCTCTCTCTCTTTCTCTCTCTCTCATATATATGTATGTGTGTGTATATATGTATATATGTATGTATATATGTGTGTATATATGTATACATGATTTTTAAATAATGAACAAATCTTGTAAAAACATTTTCTAAACTAAATAGCAGTGGGTGGCAGGTGGATGCGCGCCAGGAGAGTTTTAGCAGCTGTTTTAGCAAAAGCAGCAGCCATTTATAAGCTGCAATATTCTTCCACTAGTAGCACAAAGACATCAAAACTGACTCTGCTTATAGTGAGAGGGTCCCCTGAGCTGAGGCAGGAAGGCAAACAGGCAGGGTCCCAGAACATGGTGCATGGGCCACCCACATGCATCCCAAGAGCTTAGCCCTCTCCTTGGCTGCACAGAGGATCGCACCTGCACAGGCCACACCTCTTCTACTCCAGGTCTTAGAGCCACGACTGCTCCACTGCAGAGAAGGGGAGGCTGCAGCCTCCAGGCCCTAGAGGAGGGCCATTTTTTTTTTTTTTTTTTTTTTTTTTAGAATTCTGTTTATTGGCTTGTTATAACAGCTATTCCTTCCAACACCATATCTCATTTTTTCTTTTCCACTTTTATCCTCTTGTTTTACATTTACTTCATTACTGTAAATTCCACAATGCATTATTATGTTTTATTTGGAAGAGTCAACCATCTTTTAAACAGTTTATAAGGAGAAAAATGTGTCATTTGTATTTATCCTCATGTGCCGCTTTTGATTCTCTCAATTCTTTTGTTTAGATCGATGTTTCCATCTGGTCCTTATTTTGTAGACTGCAAAACGTGAACATTTCATATGATGTGAGTGGAACCAATTTCATGAGCATAAGAGTTGTGACGTCCTACCCTCAAAAGGCTCTGTAGGGTTTTTGTGTTCTATGTGGTTATCTTGAAAATTCCTGAGGATTTTATTTTCACATTTGTTTTATAAATGAGATCTGAGGGACAGTGGCATGTGCACCAGCGGCCTGTAGCCTCAGTTCATGTGTCAGCTAGCCTCCTGCCTGCCTCCCAACGAGGCGTTCTTGGCTCTTCTGAGCTCAGCTCCCCAGCACAGCTGGCCCCTTGGTCCTCCAGGCCCTAGAGGAGATACCCTCCCTGGGAGAAGAGCTTCCCCCAGGCCACACTGCCCCTCCACACAATCCCCCCCAACACACACACACACTCCTCGCTGAAACCCAAGTGGGAGTTGACATTCGCATGGGGACCCAGGCCGCACTCCAATGACAGGAAGCACAGCACCAGCTCCCGAGCTCTGACCTGGAGCTCTCTGCAGAGCTTCAGCCTCGGGCGACAGCAGAGCCACAGCCAAGAAACATGCCCCTCTCCAGCACTGCTTGTGACTGATGTGCCAAGCCAGCGTAAAAAAATAAATCTGTCCCTGGGGTCAGCAGTGCGGTGTAGCAAGTGAAGCCACTGCCTGAGATGCATGCAGAGGGGCACCAGCCTGAGTGCTGGCTGCTGCACTTCCAATTCAGCTCCCTGATAATGACCTAGGGAAGCAGCAAAAGATGGCTGGCATGATTAAGTCCCCAGCTTTGGCTTGGCCCAGCCCTGGAGTGAAAACCCTTGCTCAGCCAACGACATCCAACAGTGCCTGATCCGAGAGTCTGGGAAACCAGTGTTTCTGGAAACGCAGGTGTCCCTCTGAGTGGTTCCTCCCAGTTGCCCACGACTGGTTTTAATCACAAGGCCAAGGACACACGTGGCCAACAGCAGCAGCAGCAGCAGCAATCTGCAAAGGCAACTTTGACTTCAGAGAGATGGAATGGTGAGCTGGATCCAGTTGTTCTGGTGGGGAGGGGAAGGGGGAGTCAAACGTGTGGGCTGGACAGAGCAGGGCACTGTGGCTGGGAGGACCAGGAAGGAAACTACAGCAGGGTGCTGTTCTTCCCAGGCCCTGCCCTCCGTCTGCTGGCCCACACCCTACAAAGAAGGATGCTCAAGACGCATCACGTTTTCTTCAATGAAAACAAAAATAAGATATTACCTGCTGCTCACTTGAGAATTATACAGAAATGACAAAATCCTGGCCAATCCAAGAGGGGCTCTCAAGGGCAATGCCCACTGGGCGTGAGACAAACATGGACACACTCACCCTGCCCATGTCCCTTGCATCTCCCAGCTCCCTGCCACCAACTCCCTGGATTCATTCCCTCTCCCCCTTTTGTTGTGACTTTGCAGTGTCTTACAAGTCTGCGTACATTCCTGGATGTGGGGGGGCTGCCAGGGGTGTGCCAGTCTGACAGCCACACCTCTGAGAGTACACCCAGACTTAGGCTGTGCGTGCCCATCTCTGCTCTACACAGGGCGTATTTCTAACCCCAGACAACAGGGCTGGGCAGAGGCGCAGGCGAGCACACTGCCTGGCTGCAGCACGCCAGCACGGAATGCTGCAGCACCTTCAGCTACTAAGGGACCTCTTTGTTCTTCACAGCCGGGAACCTGTAGCCAGTCCTGGCTTCCTACAGGTGTGGTTCCCAAGCTTAAAGCCAGGACGCCCGTCTGTGTCACCTGCTAGCACTCATTCCCCCAGCAAGATGAACTGAGGCATTCTGCATTCCCCACTATCATTCCAACTCCCAGCCTTACACGGTAACTGGCACACAGGAGGGAGGGAGGGAGGGAGAGCAGGTTAGTTCACAGTAAAGATCTAACCCTGAATGCAGTCGGCAAAGGCCAGAGCAGGGTCCGAGCAGACAGCACAGCAGTAAGATGGCATCCCTCAATTCTAAGGTCACAGAGAGGCGTTAGCGAGTCCTACGTACCTGCCTTTTGCTCATCGTTTCCAAGTCTGCTGCTCTGACACCATATTCGGGAAATGTCTTTCTAATCATTTAAACCCTGGCAACAGCCAGCTCAAATCTCCGTAACTCTACTACAAACAAGCTTCGGAATAGCTAACTTTGTTTCCTGCTGGCAAAATACAAAATGCTGAACATGCCCAATTACAGGGCCACAAGGAAATGTTGAAGAGGGAAGAAAAAGTAACCCGTAACTGGAACTGTCAGGAGAGGAGGCAAACCTCCCTCAACCAGGGAAGATAAAGATGGATGTCCACTGCGAGGACCTCAGCCTTCAGCGAGGGCTTTTCAATCAGTTGAACAAGGAATGGCTTTCATTCAAAATGACTTGACATGTCCCTTCTTGCATATCAGCAGGCTCCTTCCTAGCTTCTTTCTATCTACATGAGGCCATAGCCTTCAGCCTAGAACACAGAATTCCTTTCCATTACCCCCACAGCATCCATTGGAAGCCCTGTCTCCCACACATGGCAAAGACTAGAGGGACTGGGTCCCTTGAACCCTCTCTTGGGGAGAAAACAAACCTGTCCAATTGCTTGGACCAAACCTTCCTGCCACTTCAAAGAGGAACTCCAGGTGCCAACAGTGACCCCTGCTGGCCAGCAGAGCTCTCACAGGAGGCTATAACTAAGGTTCCAGACACTGTGGAGGGGATGGAGCCCCCAAAAATCTACTGGACCCAAAAAGTGAGTGGATGGCGGGGCCGTGGAACCCAGGGCTCTGAACTGGGAGACAGTATCAAGAGGAAACAGCTAGGACTTGAGAGTGGAGCATCCAGGAGGTGACTGGCACTGCCCAGCGGCAAGAGGAAGCACCTAGGAGGTGGCTGGCACTGCCCAGCGGTAAGAGGAAGCAGCTGGAACATGGGAGAGAGGCATCCAGGAGCAGCAGAGGCACACAGGCAGTACATGCACCCTGTGAGGGTAGCTGGGCTGGGAAGTAAAAGGGTTTGGGGTGGAGGAGAACTGGAATCTGAGAAACTAACCTTCCCAATGCACCACTGTGTGCCGGGCTGTTGTGTGCCCCTGGGCCCTTGCACGATGCCTGCTTTTTGTATCTGGTAAATACCAAACTATTCCCAAGATGCCCAAGGTCCTTCCACAGTTCCCACCACTGTGGAGTGGTCCCCTTCCTTCTCATGTGCACTGCTGGCCTCTTTTCTTTTAAAAAAAATTTTTTTTATTGGAAAGTCAGATTTATAGAGAGGAGAGTCAGAGAGAAAGATCTACCTGTTGGTTTACCTCCCCACCCCCCCCACCCCCAAACAGCTGCAATGGCTGGAGCTGAGGCAATCCGAAGCCAGGAGGTTCCTCTGGATCTCCCTCACAGGTGCAGGATTCCAAAGCTTTGGATCATCCTCTGCTGCTTTCCCAGGCCACAAGCACGATTCCGGATGGGAAGCGCAGCAGCCAGGACACAAACTGGTACCCATATGGGATCCTGGTGCTTGCAAAGGTGGGATTAGCCAATTGAGTCGGCATGCTTGGCCCACCTCTTTTTTTATATATACATCATCTCTGGTATGCAGTGAGCACACAGTACATGGGGCACACACACCCTGTGGCATAGTGGGCACAGGGTGTCACAGTCGCACATGGGTGTCAGCTCCAGTCCCGGCTGCTCCACTGCTAACCCAGCTCTCTGCTAATGTGCCTGGGAACAATAGAGGATGGTACAAACACGTGGGCCCCTGCACCTGTGTGGGAGACCCACAAGCTCCTGTATTCAGATACTCAGCCATTTGGGAAGTGAACAAGCAGATGGAAGTCCCCCAACAACATCATCTTCTCCCTCTTTAAAACTCTTTCAAATAAATACATTTTTTTAAGTACACAGTGTGTGTTTAATAAATGTTTGTTCAGTGACTAGATGACTGAGTGAAACACTACTACTGAGTTCAACAGTCAAATGTTGTTAGAGCAGCCCAGGGGTCAGGTCAAGTTCCAGGCTTTTCTTGAGTCATCTAAGAAACAGTGCCCAGCCAGATGTGATCACTGGCTCACACTCCCGAACAAGAGGAGCCACCTCTTGGCTGCGGTCTGTGGACAGAGCGTTTTTAGCCACAGAAGAAATGGAACGAGACAGCATGGACTGCCTGGCAGCCGAGCCAAAGGCATCACCACACAGTGATGGTAGCTTTCAGTTGCTGGGACACTGGAGCAGCACCAGGGAACCTCTTGGCATGGGCAATCTTCTAGAGTTTTCGAGGCTGAGAATCAGAATCCGCTGACAGATGCCAAGGTCCACTGCAAAGAGTATGACATGACTCATGCAGCCAAGCATCCCTAGTTCTCAGTAAATCAGGAAACCACGGGTGGGTGGCTCACTCTAAGCCACTGATGTGTAACGTGTGGAACACGTGATGTGATTCTGCCTAGTACCCCAGAGATGGGCACCCTAAGGTCAGGTGCACCTGCGACGTGCTTTCCTTGGGCTATCTCGTTTAATCAATCCTTCCCCCTCTCCCAGGCATCTAAAGGTAGGAGATGGTATCACCCCACTGCAGCAACAGACACCAAGTGGAGAGAGCTTAAATGACTCATCTGGGCAGCTGGCTGACCAAGGCAGGATTCACATCCTTGCAGTTCACTCCAGCAGCTCTGCTCTTACCCAGACTCTACACTGTGCCTCTGTCAAAGGCTGTGCTCAGAGAACAGCCCTACACACAAAGTCTCAAGTAGACAGTGCCACTTGCAGCGACTTCAACCTGCACTACCTCTGGACCATCTCTGCTCAAATCCGGGGGAAATATGACCAATGCTGGTACTCCTGGATCTCTCTGCTTCACTGTATTTTCTTCCTCTTTGTGACCCTCACCTAAGAGCACAAGAGTTAACTCATGATACATAATAAACATCCAATGCATCTGAAGCAACAACTGGACTCAGTGATTGTGACAAAAGCCAGAGTTTGCCTTGATCCAGAAGTGGGGAGCATTCAGGCTGCAGGCAAGGCCTGTGTAACCACCAGGTCTGGCTGTGTCGAGGCACCAGCAGGTGGGACTCCAACAAATCTTTAGTAGGCTCATTTTAAGCTGACAACTACATGTGGTCTGAAAACTATATTTTAACTATCCCAAGGGCCCCAGGCAGGAACGAAGGTTCCCTGCGCTTGGTATCTGTCAAGTGTTCTGTGCTACACCTCCTGAGTTGAGGCCAATAGAAAAACATGACCTCGCTCTCCAAAGCAAGGACTGGCCAAGCCCTGAAAACATTCTGCCTACAGCAGCTGTCAGGGGGTATGCACGCCCTCTGCCCACATGGCTGTGTGCCAGGCAAACCTGGAGGGGTCTGGGGTCCCCGTGAAGTAGTGAATGCATGGCAGGCTTCTATCTTGAGGCAGGACAGACACCATGCTGGCTGTGGTGAGGAAGGACTCCGAGTCTACGCAGACCCCACTGGCTTTGTCCCGTAAGACGTTGATCATTGTCTGGACAGTGATGCTTTCTGTGAAAGACAAGAGACAAAGATAGTGAGATACAATGGTAGCAAGCTGCTCAGCAAATCCATACACACTCCTAACAAAGTGTATGGCATGACAGTGGGGAACCTAACTACCAGGTTACAGAATGTACCTCCCAGCTTCTCCTGTTGTAAGTTGGTCATGTGACAAATGCTGGCCAATGGGAGGTGACCAGACATGGGCAATGCAATGTCCTGGTGATGCCCTACAGAGGAATGCTGGCCTTTTGCGCTGCCCTTCTCCCTTCCTGCTTGCTAGCTGGGGGCAGTCCTCCAGAGATGAAATTTCCATGCTGAAGCACCTAGATCAGTCATATACAATACACGTGTAATACAACCTGTATTGTAGCTCCATCTCAGCAAGTGTCCTAACTCATCAGATATCAATAAGAAAGCTCATGCAGTCTGTGCACGGGCCCCAGGCTGGCTGTCACTCCCTCGCTCACAGGTTGTCACTGGTTAGGCTCAACACTACATTTGAAGAACAGCCTCTTTGCAGAAGGACAGTTAGACTACCCAGGGCTGGTAGGATGACTGGCTCTAGATCCACAGAAACAAAAAGCAAAGCCCTGGCTCCACCAGGATCCCATTCTACACACACACACACAGCCCTGGTTATAATTCCTCAAGTCACTGTGTCAACCCATGTTCAAAGACGGAATCCCAGCATCACATGAGGCTGAGGACAACATATCATACCCACAAATGTGAACCATCAGTCCTTGATTCTTCAGCTATCCTATGTCCCCATCGTCTCATAGAGCGGTTACTAACAAATCAGAATCCAACAGACTGGAAATGTCTCCTAAATGTCTCTGAATCTCTCTTCTTCTTGTCTCTTCGCTATCAGAGACTAGGTCATCTTCATCTGTAGTTTCCCACAGCCTGGGCTTAACATAAGGCATTCTCCCAGTATTTTTAACACATGCCTCCATCCTCTATTTCCTATGAACTAGTAACCGAATCTGACAATTTCATCAAGTTTGGCAAATCTACGACTGAAATTCTGCAGCAAAAGGCCTAAGGCATTCTACACAAAGGGTCAGGAAATTGCTTCTTAAACTAAAGAGTCAATACTTTAGGCTTGTGGACCCTACTCTCCATCCATCGTGAGTCCTGCTGTGCCAACTGCCCACCTCTGCCATCACAGCACAAGAGCAGCCATACGCTGCATAAAGAAGTGAAGGTGGCTGTGTTGCAGCAAAGTTTTACACAGCTGTTCATGGATCACAGTTTGCTGATCTCTGTTTTAAATGGCCCAAACCTGTCTTCACATAACACACTGAAAAACTAGAAAACGGGACCCTGCATGCTTCTGGGAAGGGTTTGCACTCCTTCCTTGTGTCTAGTCATCTGGTCACCACACTGACCTAAATACGCATTCTGACTGAGCTAGTAACTGGATGACAGGTGGAGAGCTTGTAAAGAGAGTTCAGCTATTCAAATCAACCAACATCCATGGAACAAAGTTCAGCACAGCCATCACAAGGAAATCCAAGGATAAGCCCAAGACAAGGGGACTGTTCCCAGGCCTCACAGGCCACGGGGAAAGAACGGGCACGCCATTCATCAACACTTGGGAATACAGAGGCTGTAGAAAGTATAACACAAGATGACAGGACGATGTCCCTGTTCGAAGGAAAAGTCACATCTACTGGGGCAGGAAATTGCCATGGATAAGCAAACACAGGTAGTAAGAATCAGCCTAAGTGTCTGCCTGCACATTAAGGCCTCTGGTAGAAAGTGGTACCGACACACCAGGCCTCCTCTCTCCTCTGTTGCTAAGCCACCTCCATGCAGACCAGTTCCCCAAGACACCTACAGGACTCACCTTCTTGCTTCTCAAGGCTATCTCTGCCTGCACAGCAGTCCAGGTGGTCATCAGCTGGGGAGAAAACTTGGGAGAAATTGAACTCGTCCTCTCCTGTCCACCAGCCTTGACTCTGGGCATAACTCCGGAGCTCTGGGTGCTCCTCATCCACCTTGGTGGTGAGCGAAAGCTGATTGGAAATGCACTTCACTCCCTCTGTAGACAACACAAAGCTCTGTTAGCAGAAAATATACTGTTCTTCACCAAAAAACAACAATGTGCAGGGAGTCCATCCCTAGAACTCAAACTTAAACTACATGGAATAATTGATTTGATTTTTGAAGCAACATGATCTTTGGTTCTTTTTGCCAGGAGATATCCTAAGGTATCTGGCCTGGGGTGGGCACTGTGGTGCAGTGGGTTAAGTCACTGTGTGGGAGCCTGCATCCTTATGTGAGTATGTGGGATCCAGTCCTACCTCCACTTCCAGTCCAGCTCCTGCTGGTGTATCTGGGGGCAGCAGAGGATGTCCCAAGCATGTGGGTTCCTGCTCCCCACAGACTCAGAGAGCATTCTGGGTTCCTCCAGCCTGTCTCAACTCCAGCCATCATGGACAATTAGGCAGCGAACCAACCAGTGGATTAGATTCTATCACTCCACCTCTCCACTTTTCAAATCTGTAATTCTAAAAAAATGATCTATCTCAACTAGAAATTATCACATTTGAAATTTTTATGTATTAGTATTTGAGTGAGAGACAGAGAAAGAGAGAGAGACAGAGAGAATGTGCTGTGCTGGCATATTGCATAAATGCCGGGGCTGGTCCAGGGAAGTCAGGAGCCCCCAACTCAATCAGGACAAGGACTTGAGCCATCCCCCTGCTGTGTTAATGCATCCAGGGTTCATTAGCAAAAAGCTGGAGCTAGAGCTGGGGACTTGAACCCAGGCACTCTGGATATATGGGACACAGACTCCAAGAAGTATCCTAAGCACCACACCAAACCATCACATCTTAAATGAACAGTATTCACTTTACTAATCTTAAATCTGCCAGGAAAATATAATGATACCCATCCTGCTGGTTAAATAAGCCCCAAGCAGTCATTACAAGAAATGCGAAAGGAGTCCTGTGTTAGCAGGAGCTCCCCTACAGCAGGGCTCCAATGGTCTGTAGAGATTACTCCCACTGCAGCCCAACCTCTTGACTAGCTGGAAAATCACTTCACACCAACATTCCCTGCCCAAGTTCACACAATACTACAACACCTGGATACTACACTTCATTCTTTTCTTTTTCCAACTCTTAGGAAAACATGGTATCAATGACAGTGAGCTATCGAACACACGGCAATGTTCTGGGGAATACAGAGGTATCTGGTGCAGGTGTGTGTGTATATAAGAGAGGTGATCAACCCCCAGGATTCTTCTTTCTCCTACAAACAAGTTCCTCTACATAAACCAGGCATCAGGCATGTTGCCTCCAGAGCCTGCCCCACTTCGATGCTGAAGGATCCAGGAATTTGCTAACAGCTGGCAGCCTCACCGGGTCTTCTGCAAAGTCAGTGCTGCAAATAACACGGAGGGACCTGGCTGACAGGTGCTTTCCTGGGATGCAAACACTAGGAAGTTACCAGGGCTCAAAAAGGCCATTCAGGTTCACTCCTTTCAGTTGCCACCTGGGATTTCCAGATTCTTGAAAGATGGAGAGAAAGAGGAAACCTAAACCGCAAGTGGGCACTGAGGCGCTGCTGCTTGGAAAGTGACTCCTAGAGGCAGGGTCGGTGCTGGACCCGGGACCCCACCAGGAGCTGCTTCTTGGAGTCTGTCTTTCAGGACATGCATTCCTGGGTAACTGGCATCGGTCCTTTGGGATCATCTTTTCAGAGCGTCACCTCACAAGCAAAACTACCAGGACCAGCATGATGTCTCAACTGGTTAATCCTTCACTTATAAGTGCTGGTTTGTGTCTGGGCTGCTCCACTTCCCATCCAGCTCCCTACTTATGGCCTGGGAAAGTTGCAGAGCATGGCTCAAGTCCCTGGGACCTTTCATCCACATGGAAGACCTGGAGGAAGCTCCTGACTTTGGACAGGTTCAGCTCCAGCTGCTCCAGTCATTTGGGGAGTGAATCAGCAGATAAAAGATTGTTTTGCCTCTCTCTGTGTATCTACCTTTCCAATAAAAATAAATCATAGACAAAACTACCAACATCTACCAAATAAGAGAGTTTTGCCTAAACAAGTGATTCTGATGTCATTTGTACTCAGCAGTTAAGAAAACCATAGCCTCCTATGAACACCACCACAGATGCTGTTTGCCGGGCTGAGGCTGGTTTATCACCCACATTTGCCTTCAAGTGTGCCAGACAGGGAGGACCAACGGCATTCAGTCCTCCTGCAGGAGGGCGGTGGGATCGCAGGATGTGCATTCAAAGAGCTGGGAGAAGGCAGATTGTTTAAATATTTATTGAGAGCATCATTTCATGGGGATCAATTTTCTACACTATTTCTGAAACTCAGCTACTGAAGTGCAGTCCCCGATCAATAGTGTTAGCTTCTATGCAATGATGCCACTGAGCACGGACCCCAAGCCTTCCCGATGGACATTCCACAGCAAGATTTTTTTTGTTAGAGGGGTTTTGTTAGAGGGGTAGGAGCCAGACCTGCACACTGGCTACCTTCCCTCTATTGATGCTATTCAGAGCTGGGTCGGCAGACACACATGCCTGGTGGTGCACGCCGTCCCATAGGAGCAGAGACTGCAGCTTGCTCTGTGACGGCTTAGGGGCATTGCAAGCCCAGTGTCTAAGGATGAGAAGCAGCTACTGCCTCACTCAGGCAGTCACAACTGTGCCTTCACACAGCTTGTTTAGAAAAACCACAGTCTGGGTTTTCTGCCTTAGCAGGGTCGTCTTGTGGAGTTTATTTTTAACTTTTGAAACTTATCATACAATTTTGTATAGTCTGAGATTCCCTACCTGCCTTTTTCACCTCCCAGTTGATTTTTTCCCATAATGTCACAACTCTTCATAAGGAGTGACAATTCCACCACTCTGCTATTTAAGTGTGCCCTGACATTGCTGGTACAGACAATGTCAGACAGTCCATCATCTTGTGGGGTTTCCTGATACACTCTTTTAAAAGATTTTTACTTGAAAGGTAGAGTTACAGCAAGAGGGAAAAACAGACAGCTCATTCATCTGCTGGTTCACTCCCCAGATAGCCACAACAACCAGAGCTGAGTTGAGCTGAAGCCAGGAGCTTCTTCCAGGTCTCCCATGTGGTGGCAAGGTCCCAGGCACTTGAGCCATCTTCCGCTGTGTTCCAAGGCTGTAAGTAGGAAGATGGGTCAGAAATGGAGCAGCTGAGACACTCAACTTGCATGGGATGGTGGCAGCTCAACTTGCTATACTACCATGCCACTTGTCACTTTGCATGCAGTGCCAGGCACTACCATCCACAGGAGCCCTGATCACCTGACTGCACAGAAAGATTTGATGCACAGCGGCTGCAGGCGATCCACTTCTAACTCAGTCAGATTTGGTTCCAATCACCCCTACTCCAAGAACGGCAAACAGGTTTCATCCCCAACATCATCTGTGATTAAATGGAAGAGACCAGCCATCTCTTTTACCGTCAAATAATGGTAAAGTCATTTGAGAAACATACTCAGGCCAGCACAGGTTCAACCAGAGGATGCCACAATCTACTAGTCATGTCTGCCATGGGCACAGGCAATGAGAATGGCAGGACAGTCCCATGAGCCACTTCTCTTAGAACCACAAAGTCCTCTCAGGAACCCTTTGACCCTTCCTACACACACACACACACACACACACACACGGGTCTAGGAGGGTGGTAAGATGACAACACAACTGTCACTCCCAACCATGGCTGACCCAGAAGTTCCCTCCATGGGCCATGCAGCAGACATGTTATGGGAACTCAGTCTTCCTGTGCAGTCACCACATCCTCCATCCTCCAGGGACACAGTCTCACAGAAGTGCCCAGCCATCCCAGCCCATCACACAGCAGTCCCCATATAGAACTCCACATCGATGAGAGAAGAATGCTGCAGCACAAAGCGCCATGGGGTCAGGGCCACAGAAGGGATCTGCTACCTACTCAGGATGGAAATGCATCCTTCTCTCAGCCAACGCAAAGCTCCCGTTTGAGCTAGAGAACTGCCCCCACCCACACTCACCTGTCACTTTCTCAGCAGCCCAGTACTTCCCAACGGTCTCGAGCACCCAGGCCTCGCTCCGATCCACCAGCAGGTATGCGCTCTGGAAGCTGTGGCAGGAGCTGGCATCTTCGTAGTAATTTCCACCTTGGCCATGCTCTTGCAACAAGGTGACAATGACCTCCAAGGCTCCCTTAGCTGTCGTGGCTCTCTCCAGACCAAGCCTGAAGTTGAGAAGCAAATGTCAGGCAATTCACGCTGCGTGGTGATGGCTATAGCCATCAGAGACCACTGGGACAAGGCTGAGCCAGGAGCATGGGACCACAAACCTGTTCCATGCACAGGCTGCACAGCCAACACTCAAACCCTCCTCTCAGCCCTGAAGAGATTAGAATTGCTGTCTTTGCACTTCTCCTTGCACGAGCAGGTGCCTCTAGAATCCTGCGGCTTCTTCCTCTGCCTGGGAAACCATGTGTTCCCCCTTTCTCCTTTAACTATCTCCTGGAGCCGACCAGCATGGCTCTGACCCCTAGCCAGCACCCCCTTCCTATGGCTTGTGCCTCACCTACCTCAAGCCTGGGTAGAAAGACATCTCTGCCCAGTGTAACACTTGTGTCTCTCATTCTACCAGGCATGCCACAGCTCCTGAATGCTTATACCCAACTAAAATTCAAGGGCCACAAGTTCATCCCCAGCGCAATGATATCAGGAAACAGGACCCTCGCTGGGGACGAGGCAATTAAGGTGGAATCCTGAGGAACCTTTCCAGTGGTGCCAGCACACTGTATGAGCATGGGTTTGAGTCCTTGCTGCTCTACTTTGGACCCAGCTCCCCGCTAATGCACCTGGGAAGGCAGCCAAGGATGGCCCCAGGACTCGGGCCCCTGCATCACTCACAGGCCAAAGTCATCGACTTAAAAATCAACCTGCTACAGATCCACTGGATTTCAAGTCCTATCTATGGTTGCCTTGTCAGGGCCAGAGCAAATGATTTTGTCGGCCTCTTATGGCCAGACTGTCCCGACCCCTGCCCTGTAAGAAGAGACTCGAGGGAGCAGGAACTGTGGGCTAAGCTGTTAAGCTGATGTCTGCCAGGCTGGTGTCCTATACGGGCACTGTTTGGGAGTCCCAGCTGCTCCACTGCCCCACAAGCTCCCTGTGAATACCCCCAGGGAAGCCGGTGGAAGACAGCTCAAGTGCTGGAACCCCTGACACTCACATGTGAGACTCAGATGAGTTTCAGGCTACTGGCCGGGGCCTGGCCGAACCCCACCCTTTGTAGCCATTTGTGGAGTGAAGTTGAACCAACAAATGGAAGCTATTGATCTCTTTCTCCACTCCTCCTTTAAAAAAAAGTATATCATTAAACACACACACACACACAACAACAACAACAACCTGTTTGTTCTCTCCACTCCAATAGTGGAGGAACAAAGGGACAAGGAGAAGACCCTCCCTCCCCCTGCCACATATGAGGAAGCACCTCTTCCCAGGCTGCAGGTCTGTAAGTACCTTGATCTTGGACTTGCCAGACTCCAAAAACCTGCCACTAAGCACTTGTTTCCACCCCGTGGACTCCCACATGCCAGGCAGTGGTCAGAGCAGGACTCAGAGAGGTGCTGAGCAGATGCTTCGTGCTGCCCCGACAAGGAGGCAGGTGTGTGAGGTGTGTGGGCTCATCTCCATCTCCTGAGCAGGAGAAAAAAGCTGTGACCTAATCCACAGAAAAGGGACACTCTAGCCCAGTGAGCAATTCCTGGTGGCCCAGGCTCTGCCACATTCCAGCTCCAGGGTTCTGGGCAAGTCCTTTAACGCCCTCACTTCTAGCTCCAGGTTCCTCTTCTACCATGTGGAAGTAAATGAACCTGCTGCACCAGGTTGTTAGGAGGATCCTAGAAGAAACAGCAAAGCATAGCCCCTCTCCCCATTGCCAAGATGTCGGGATGGACTGAATGCATCGGACACAGAAACAAACTCAGTGAGTCACTCCACCACAAAAGGAATGGAGGGAACAGCCTGAGGCAACACTTGGATGGGCTGCAGCCCGCAGCAGCCAGCCGGGAGAGCAGATGGCCACATTTCAGGGACTCCAAGCCAGCTGAGTGTTTGAACACTGGTATTTCAACACCTGTGGCAGTGGGAGCATTTACACTGTGGAGATTGGCAAAGGCCACACAGCAGGGATCTCTCCACCCACCAGGCCGGTCTTTATGCACCTGTTGGCGTGCTGCTGACCAACCAGTTCTGAGAGCTTCTGCCTTCTCCTCCACCTTGGGCCTGGATGTCTCAGAAGGACACATGGGAACTTGGACAGTGAGACACACCCAATATTCAGAAAACAAATTCCCATTCCTACGTTAGCTCCTGCCAGGCGCTTGCTACTTGGAACCAGCCTCACAAAGCCTGCAAAAATATGTCTGAGTGTTTGTCTGTTGTTCCCCTGGGAGAAAGGTGCTAGCCAGTCTTACAGCACTTCACGGATCCAAAAGAACAAAGCTTGTTATTTAGCACAAGCACTACTGAAAATGAAGTCTTAAAAGCACTATCATCTGGGGACAAGGACGTAGCATAGCGATCAGGACACCTCCATCCCACATTGGAGTACCTAGATTCAGCTCAGACTGCCACACCCAAAACTCAGTTTCTGAACTAATTCATTCCCATTCTCTCTCTCTCTCTCTCTCTCTCTCCCTCTCTCTCTCTCTCTCTCTCTCTCTCTCTTACTCTGTCACTTTCTTTCTGGACAGAGAGCTCTACCTCCCAATTTTTTTAAATTGTTTTGTCTAATTCTTGCATCCCCTCAAGCCTCTAAAAATACATGCAAATTATAAATAATCTATCCTGAAGGTAGTGTAAATTGACACGGTCATTTTTAAAATATTTATTCCTTTGAAAGGCAGAATGACACAAAAGGAGAGCCAAAGATTCACCCATGTGCTGGTTCATTTCCCAAATGCCTGTAACAGTCCTGGCTGTGCTGGGACAAAGCCAGGAATCTAAAACCCCATTGGGGTCTCCCAAGCAGGTAGCAGAGACCATGGGACATCATTAGCCGCATGCCCAGGTGCATTAGTGGGGAGTTGGATGAAAAGTAGAACTGGAACTGGAGCCAACACTCTCAGGTGGGGTGTGGGCATTCCAAAAGGTGGCTTAACCCACTGTACCATAACACCAGCCCCTGCCACTGTCACTCATTCCGTCTCTGCAAACTGAAGGTGGATTTGACAAATGGAAAACATGAAGGAACAGAATGTACATATAGAAGCAAATGCCATATTTTTCAAATAATGAACCCATTCTAGCAGGCACAGGGAACAGAATGTAAATGCAGGACAGCCTCCTCTCACAAGAGCTGGCCAGAAGGGCTCTCAGCCAAGCACATCAAGCTCCTCCACACACACAGGGAGACTCCGTCCGAGTCCCAACCTGAAAGATGACAACCAAGCAACGGAAACACCCTCTGGGGAACGTGCATCAACAACCCCAGGAGGCGCTGTGAAAACCACCTGCTCACCTCAATCCCCAGCATTACTGATACAGCAGGCATGGTGGGGGCGGGGGGGTGGGAGAGAATGAGAGGGAGGGCATGAACTTCCAGCACATGCCTAGGCCACACAAGTTCTCCATCACACTTTAAGAATCACTGCTCTGGAACATGGCCACTCACACTGTGGCTTGAGGATCCACATTGGTGGACATGATGGCTAAGGCTCAACACTGACCTTGCCCTCTACTGCTGACAAGTGGCGTTATCCCAGACCTTGCCCAACAAGCCACACTACTTCTGTGCCCCGTCTGCTCTATCTTCAGCCCTCCCCTGCTGGTTCCACATCAAATGCACCTGCTCCCTCAGGTATTCACAGATGTACCCAGTCTGGGACAATCTGCCACCCATCAGTGTCTGTGGGGGGCCTCACTCTGGCATTCTTTGCCCTTCACGTGACTGAAAGTTCCAGATCTCTTTGGGTTTTCTCCTACTGTTGTCTAAACTTGTTCCTTCACTGTGAACTGCTCCATTTTCTGTCTTCTCTCTCCCTGCAACCACACTAACATTTGAAGCTTTGAGCATCTTCACGTGCCCACAAAGTCCAGTACAAGGTAGGTACTGAGCAAGAAGCCTGCTATTTTATTGGTAGGTGTTCCTGGAAAGCTACATCAGAGACTCTGATGGGGGGAAAATCCCTTCCATTATCTCTTAGAAATCAATCTTTTGAATGGTGATTTTTGCAGCTCTGTAAGCTCCATGCTGCAAACATAAGTACCCAAAACACAAGGCAATATATGAGAAGTTAAAAACGCATCTTTCTCAGTAACTCCTCATGTGTAAAATTTCAAGTACAGAGGTAAAAAAAAAAATGGAAACAGAGAACGTTGTTTAAGAAATAAGCTCACAACTTGTTCTGCACATTTTGTTGTATGAATTAAGAGCAAACTGGCTGTAAATATAGGCTCTTCTCTTCAGCTTAGGGAAGTGGCTCCTTCTAAGTTTATAAGAATTGGGAAGGCGGCCAGCAATCAGCCAGCACACCAGCTGACAAGGTGGCACCTTCAGAGCACCCATCATCAGCTGACAGGTGCAGCGGGTCCCAAAGGCTCTGCATACACAGGCAATCCCTCTGCAAAGCCAGTTCAGAACTTCCATTCCTGTGATGGGAAGTTAACTTTGGGCGGTCCTTTAGATGTCACCCAGTGTAGGTATTTGTGCCACGAGCTGGAGTATCCACACAAAAGCCAAGACACTCCTGGCTCCCAGCCAAATCTTCCAACTACTCTATGGTTCTGGTTCATTTCATTCTTTCAAGAAACCCATTTTGGAATGCTTTGCTCCACTCAATCCTCTGCTTTAGTCATCTGCTCCAAGTTCAGTTACTGATGGCACCTTACGTGTGAGACACAGTCCCCAGCACCTGTGACACAGGAGGGGATAGAACTCTTGCCCTGTGCAGCTTCCAGACCCTACTCCTTCTGTTATGCAGTGGCTGGGAAGTGCAGAAGGAAGGGACAATGGAGAGATCTAGAAGGGAAGTGAGGCCTGCCCTTTAACAGTTGTATTTTATTTGTTTTTCTCTTGGGTGCTTCAAATATCATAGCGTCACCAAAGCAGTGGTGTTAGTATATTCCCAAGGTTCTGAAACCATCCCCACGATTTAAGTATAGAACCTTTTAAATATCCCCTCAAAAACCCTCAACCTGTTAGGAGTCATTGTCCATTTCCCCAGCCCCTCCCCAGGCAACCATAATTTATGTTTTGCCTCCAGAGCTTGGCTGGTTCCGACATTTCCAAGGAGTAGCTTCAAACAGTATGATCTTTCGCATCTGCTTCACTCAGTATAATACTTTCAAGTCACCATATTGAAACAGGTGTTAGCACCTGATTTTTTTTCTTGTGAATAGTATTCTAAAGCCTTCTATTGTTTTCTATCTCAAAAAAATTTGTATCAAAAAGCACATAGCATCTTTCGAGGGGCTATGCTACAATGCACTAGGTTTAAGACGCACACCTGTTAACCACCCTATACCAGGTAGCCACGCTGAATGGCCATGCAGTACCTGACCAGGTCCATCCCCAGCAAGGCTTCCGTCTCAGCAGCTGCCTCTTTGGTGCTGATGGCTTCATTGGCGATGCACACTCCATGTTCATTGGCCCCCATCTCGGCCCCCCAAAGCCAAGCAGGTTTGCTTATCATTATGGCATGGGTCCTTGGGACTTGGTCGATTGAAATGTAGGTGCACTGGAAAACAAAGGCAGGAAAGATGTCACCTATGAGGCAGCACTTCATGTCCACCTTGGAGCACACATTGAACCACCACCTCAATTACAGAGTTGAAACAGCAAGAGGCTTTGGGTACACCCAGGTTTAGAAGATGGCTTGCTGGTCTCCATGTGTCAGTCTCTCTGGCCACACCAATCTCTCCATAGCACTTAGGCTTCTGAGACTTATCTTGAACCAGATACCCAGCCAGTCTTCACCCTAAATATTCTGTGTCCATACCCAAACCGTGACATTGGTCTGTAAATGTCATTACAGATACCCCAGCCCATATTCGGAAGAAATTTCACCTATAAGCTGAACATAAAAAGCAGATGAAGGGAAGCTGCTCTGCAGGAAGCAAGGAAGCAAGGGAGGGAGGGAGAGAGGGAGAGAGGGAGAGAGGGAGAGGGAGAGAGGGAGAGAGGGAGAGAGGGAAAGGAAAGGCTTTTATGTCTTCACCTGGAAAACTAGGGAGCTAATGTCAATCAGACTATTTCTTCCAAAGTATTGGTAAGCTCAGAACCCTTCCTCCATACAAACTCTTACAAAGACACACACAAGAAAACCCATCAAAGTATGTCCAGGCAAACAGAGGAAGAGGAGGTAGAGGCATAACATCTTTCTCTCCTTTCTTGCCTTCCCTTACCCTCCCCACCTAGAGGCCCAGGGTGAGATCCTGGGTGGGCCGGTTGGAAACCCACACGAGTGGGCCTCCTAGAGGCCTTCTGCCTTGGATGCTGCAGCAGCCCTGCACACCGCAGGGATGCAGGAGGGACCGTGGGCTTGAGATGACACAGCTCTCCTGCTCTCAAGGGAGATTTCTGTCATCAGCTGCAACCACTGTCTTCATTTTCAATTGCTGAAATCACTGGAGGCACTGCAGGCTTAGATTTGGATTGGTTGGTTGACTTTGTTATATGGACTGAACGAGGACCAGCATGCTGCACTCCTGTGCACTGACTGGTCCTTGTCCCTAAGGCTCGGGTGAGTGTGGGAATGCACACAGCATACACCCTTGTTGGCCAGGTGACCTGTGCACCTGCACTCAGCCTGTCAGGTGCGGCTCTACCCTTGGATGACGTCACTCCTCTTCATTATTAGCTTTCAGTTGATGAAGAATGATGTCCAGGGGTGGTCAAGAGCCCCTTGAGATGCTAAAGGTAAGCAAACAGTAAAACAGTCTTTGACAGGTTTTTTTGCTAACCAAAGGCCAGACTATTTGTAGAAATGCTTCGTGTACAACACAAAGCTGGTCAAAGCCATAATGAATGATGCTGCTTTGGGCTTTGCTAAATGTCTTAGTCTTGCACACATCCACAGGATACAGAAGTGCAGGCATTGGCCCACTGTTTCTAAAGCCCTATCCCCACTGAGCACCAAGGCAGACTTCTGCCTTAAAAACAGTGAGAAAACAGGGAAGGAATTTCAGCTCTATAAGTGTAATTCACACAAAAGGGTTTTTTTAATGGCAGAGAAAAAGATAAAACTAGGAAATGGTTCCACTGACTTGTCCTCAAATTCATTTTTACATTATGTTATACATTTACACATAGCTTATTCAGACACTACCAACCACTCTCACAGCAGGCTGTACTGAGTGCTACGAGCAGCAAATCAAAGACACTGCCCACTCCCTGCTTCTCCTGTTCAAAAGAGAAAAGGCACAGCACACATGACCGTGACAGCCATGCTGACTTCAGTGCCCCCGGGTCTGCCCATTGCATAGGCGCCTTCCCTTCTACACATCCTGTCCTGGTAGGTTTCTCCTTCCTCCATTCCAGCCACTCATCCCCTTCAAGGATATGACAGAAATGACTTATTTTGCACACCGGTTTAACTATTTTTTGAAACAGTTACAGATAGAGTGAGAGTGACAGAGAAGGAGATCTGCCATCTGCTGGCTCCTTCCCCAAACGACTGTAATGACCCTGGCTGAGCCAGGGACTGACCTGGGACTCTGTCCAGGTCTCCCTTATGAGTGCCAGGAACCTAAGCACTCGACTCATCTTCCCCTGCTTTTCTCAGGCACATTAGCAGGGAGCTACAATGAAAGTGGAACAGCAGGGACTGGAACAAGAAATCCTAAGGGAGCTGGCATCTCAGGTGGTCACTGAACCCACTGCGCTACCTGCTGGCCCCAGCGCAGACTGTGTGTGTGTGCTATCTGCAGGCACCAATAAATCTTCATGTGGTTAAGACATATGGACAGATGGCTGGATGGGCGAGTTCTCAAGACCTGAGGCAGCATACAGATGATGCAAGGGAGAAAGGGACCACGTCCGAGTGCCCAGCTTTACCAAGTGACCAGTCATGGAGTGGCTCTTCTTGAGCTCAAGGTATCCAGGCAGGGCTTCGAGCCTTTGAGCGTGCCAAAGGTATGTTCCTGTTCCAAGGACTCAGGGGAGCCACTGTGCTGATTCCAAACTGCAAGGTCCCATAAGGACCTGACTGACAGAGATGCTAAACATGGCATCAAGACCAGATGGTCTGTGTGGGAGTTCAACACACTCGCAACCAACCTGACACTTTTCAAGCCAAACCCAGAATAGTGAAGGTGGAAGGGGAGCCCCCACAGGCCAGAAGATCCAGATCAGTCCCTCCCACCACCACACTGAAGGCCCAGGTGACCAGACAGCCCACAGTACTGAGCCCTCGGGGGCCTGGGACACATTGCCAGGGACCTCTTTGGCCTGGCCCCTAGAACCCTGGGCAGCAAGGTACCTTCTGAGACAGCCATGTACATCCTGGCACTGGTGCCTTCGATCAGGCCAATCACAGCCTGCCAGGGGTGAGGCGGATGAGGACGAAGGAACACACTTATCCTATAGAGATAAGTTATTTAAAAATCCCAATTTGAGAGCAAATTTCAAACGAGGAACATTCACACCTGGCATAATTAGCTAAACTTCATAAAATCAGCCAGCTAGAACATAAACTCCACAGGCAGGCTTTTTTTTTTTAATAATTCATTGAATGTGGTGATGGCCACATTACTGATGAGGCAGAGAAGAAATGCGATTGGTGATTTGGGAGGAGATTTCACCAACGAAAAATATCCAAAAAGCACCTGACATCGTATGGCAAATTCAACTTAGTTCTCCAAGCCAAATTTCTCCTGCAAAAGCAACAAAGAAAGTGCTGGAACTTGGGTTGGGTGTCTGGCCTAGTGCTGAGACCCAGGACTCAGGCAGTGACATTCCATGTCCGGAGTCTGGCTTCAATTCCTGGCTCCAAACCCAAAAGCCAACTTCTTGCACATGCAGCAGTGGTGACCGCAGTGAGGCTCCTGCCACTCACACAGGAAACCCAGATGGCCTTCCTGGCTCCTAGCTGTCATGGGCTCTTGGAGAAGTAGTCAGTGGATGGCAACTCATTCTAATTCATTCCTACAGTTTTAAAGGTGGCTCTTCTGGGGGACAGTTCTGGTCTCCAGCTTTGGTTACAAGCCATTAGAATGGACTATGGCTGCCCCTCAGCCACTCCCACTCACCCCTACACATGACAAATCTGCCAATAACCCTGATTTGCAGTGTCAGAGCCACAGAACCAAGGCCAGAGTAGGGAGCAGGGTGAGTCTGCCTTCCCAACACCAGTCCTGCCTAATGCCAATCCCAGAGCTTATTGAAGGCAGTGTCTGGCCTGGCCACTCTCTCTCGAGGCTCCAGGGTGCACCCATCTGGTTGGGAGGTGGACAAGAGGAGCAGCAAAGAGGGTTTCTGCAGAGGCAGCTTGTGTTATTCATGGCAACTGTGTCAAGAATTAAAAGCAAACTCAGCTTCCTGCCACTGCTTATTCCACCCACCTCCACACATGCTGTGTCTGGACTGCTCCCGGTAAAGGGGGGAGGGGTAGGCACACACAATAGACATTTCAGTGGATGAAACAAAACCATTGAGCCTTCCTACTGTACTCGCATAGGGAACACAACCCTGGCACTGCCAGTGAAAACCTCTGCAGGGTGCATGGATGAGTCAGCCACACTCTTGGTAGGGAGGTGCAGGGGAAGGCTGGGGGAAGGAGAAGCTTCAAAAATAGTGATTCCAGAAAATCTGCAGCGCTGGGTTTGTGCTAAGGGATAGGTTGCATGTGTGTTTTGTGTGATCAGTGCCTTGCTTGCCAGCTTTTGTTAAAACTTATTTGAAAAGCAGGGAGGGAAGAGATCGTCCATCTGCTGGTTCAGTCGTCAAATTCTATCCATATCTTTCAACTGGGTGACAGGGTCCTGAACACTTGACATTATCCCAGGAGCAGAGAGAGAGCTGCACTGACAGTCAATCCCGTATGGGGTGCGCACATCACAGGAGGTGGCTTAACCTGGTGTCCCACAACGCTGGCCCTGTATGTGATCGGTTTTTAAAACATGCCCTTCACATTCACATGTGTCTTCATGCAGACAGGAGAGGTGGATCAATGGGTAACACCTGTCCCCAGCATCCAGGAGAGCAGTGTAGGTCTCCCCGATACTGTTGGATCGGTGGGGATGGGCACTGCCAAGGCCAGGGCTTAGGGAGGAGGAACTGGCCGTGTGTGAAGGCACTGGCTCCTGGAAGCTGGGGAACTTGTCTCCCATGCCAGCTCCTAGCCTCAGGGCTGAGAAGCAGAGCAAGCAGAATGAACAATATCCAACCTACCCAGGAGCCAGGGAGCTCTGGGCAACGGTGATTCTAGAATCAGCTGTGCTTTTTAGCTCTAAGAAGTCATTGTCAGAATGACAATTGAGATCCTCCTATCCCCAGTCATACTCTACCCAGCCAGCCTCCCTGGGCATAGTGTCATTCACAAGGCCAGCAGCTCTCACTGACCAATGCCATTCTATACTTAAAAGTATTTCCACAGGACCCGGGGCAGTATCCTAGTGGCTAAAGTCCTCACCTTGCATGCAGGATGCATGCACTAGGATCCCAGATGGGCACCAGTTTCATATCCCGACTGCTTCGCTTCCCTTCCAGCTCCCTGTTTGTGGCCTGGGAAAGCAGTCA